AACAGATTAAATTACGTAAACATAATTTCTCTCTGTTTTTAAAGACAATTAGTGTGAAAATGGGCTAAGTGGTTTCTTTTAAATCCAATGTGTAAACTGTACATACTTAAAAATAAACTGTAACAACAGGGAACACTATCGACATTAAGAGAACAATGTTGGCATGTTGATATTTGACTTTCAATTCAAAGATAAAAAAAACTAAAGATTGAGCTGGAATTATGTTGGTAAAGTCTTTGTTTGAATTTAACCGGAGGTTCCAGGGAGTCATAAGTATCAAAAACACCACCAAAAGCCTAGAGTGTAAAGAGGATTAAATTTATAAGGAGAATAATCAGTTGAGTAGAATAAACTAAAGGCTCTAAAAAGCATGTGTCGATCACCTTGATCTATGTACCTTTTCAACATTAAAGACTATCATATCAGTCATGACTAAGATCGTTTTTTCATAGGTGTTGTCTTTCTGATCATTTTAGTTTTTTTCTTTATCAACCATAGTTCTGGTCAAAACGGTAAACATTGTCGTTTAGGGACAATAGCACTTATAACTAATAGACCGAAGATTTCAGACATATTGACAACTATTTAGATCTTGTGCTGCTGATCATTGTTCCTTTTCTAGTGTCTCCTTGTCAATTTTGCTTTTTAAGAAAATAAGAAAAACACGCAAAAAATGGCATTAATCGTCATTTAGGGGCAATTATACATATAAGAAGTCGACCAACGATTTTCACCTTTTTATTTATCTGTATATCTTGTCTTGTTGATCACTGTTGCCATTTAAAGTTTTTATGAAACGCAAAAAAAAAAGGCGAAAATCGTCATTTGAGGGCATTAATTCATATAAGGAGTCACCTACGATTTCGGCCATACAGACTCATTTGGAGGTCTAGTCTTGCTGATCATTCAAATGCTTACAGTATCTCTCTATCCGTTATAGTTTTAAAGATAACAATCAAAAACGCAAACAAAGAGTAAATAAATCATCATAAAAGGTAAAAAAACTCCTATATAGAATCGACCGACAATTTAAAGCCATGTAGATAATATTTGCAGATCTTGTCTTGCTTATAATTTTTGCTGTTTATAGTTTTTTATCTTTTTTTTTTCTATGGGTTGGCTTTAACAAAATGGTAAAAAAAATAGTCATTTAGGGCCAATAATCCCTTTAAGGAGTCGACCGACGATTTCAGACATGTCCACAATATTTTTGAACTGGCTTGCTGATAATTTTTCCTATTCATATAATGTCTTTTTATATCTATTATGGGTTTTTTAAATAAGAAGCAAAAACGCAAAAAGGCAATAATTGTCATTTAAAGCCAACTGCTCATATAAATGGGCGAACCAACGATTTAAGCAATATCAACTCATTTGTAAACCTTGCCTTGTGGATCAATTTTGCTCTCTAAATTTCTCTCTGTCTACTAAACGAGAGGCGAAAGACACAAAATGGACATTCAAACTCATAAGTCAAAAATAAACTGACAACGCCAAGGCGAAAAAGGAAAAAGACTAAACGACAGACAACTGTACACAAAACACAACACAGAAAACTAAAGACTGAGCTACACGAACCCCACCAAAAAACTGGGGGATATCTCAGGTGGTCCGGAAGGGTAAGTAGATCCTGCTCCACATGTTGCACCCTTCGTGTTGCTCATGTAAGTACGAACCCGTTGAAAAATCTAATTCGGTAGGTCAAATTCGGGGAAAAGAGGACGGGATTGTGGTTACAATAATAGGAACATATCCGTCCTCATTGTGAAACAGATATTCCATAACAGTCAACCAGCTCGTGATAGCGTCCGTAAAAATTATGAAGGAATGATTTCAACTTCACCACTTGGAACTCTTCGTTTAATCATCTTCCTTGTGAGTAGCAACCCTCTATCAGGAAATCATGATATGAAATGCAAGCCTGGAATATCGTTTCAACTGAGAGATATATACTCCATATGCAGGCGGTGCTGGAATGTTACTACATAGAAATGGAAAGTTCACAATTGGAAAGCTGAAATCATCTCTTTCGTCGTAAAGTTTTGTTTTCAACCGACCCCCATTGTCAATTTCTAGATGTAAGTCAAAATATGCGGCAGACTTAACTGCATCTGTTGTATCCTTTATCTTAAGTTCGATGGGATAGATGCGTTCAACATAGTCCATCAAACGTAACAAATATGTTGTCAATCAAGAAATTATGCATCTTCATAATGTCAGTTTCAGAGAATTGTTTGTTTGAATCAGAATGATTGTTTCAAAATTATAGGCATAAACACCAAAAAAAATGGTAAGAATCGTCACGTAAGGGCAATAACTAATGCAAGGAGTTAAACATTTAAACTGTATTTGTTTAATTTCATTTAATACGTACTCGGTACGTGTACTTTTAATTTCATTTGTATACTTAAATTGTAAATAATCATTATGTTTAAGAAAGTTAATACCTATCATTTCTAAATATTGCAATTCTAATTTTTTAATTCTAATTTATAAAAAAACAATCTAGTAAATTTGTCGAAAAATGAAAGAGCTCAACAAAAAGGAAAAACTAAGAGAGCAAAGGACAATTACTCTCTTTTTTTTCTTCAAAATTCAGTGTTAAAAAAGGAAACGCAAATTCCAACTTTGCACTAAGAATTTCAGATATCTAATAATAACTTATTTCACGTTTGCTATTCCGAAACCTTTTTATTTTGTAAACACTATTCGGCACACATTATGTTATAAATGTTATTTAGGAGGCGTTTATTGTGTCTTTACTCGGCCGACTCACATGCAATCCGAGTTAACATATAATAACCTCCGTAAAAAAATAAGAAAAAGAAAAATACTATTTCGCCTGTGTAGGAATTCATACCCGCAAAACTTTTAAAAACATGTTAAATCTGTTTGGTATGCCAGTACGATCACCACTGAAATTAATAAGACTTAAAACGTAGAAATATCCATTTGAGTTACAAGCGAAACACGAGACGTTAGTATTTGTAGGTGGTTCATATTGTTTTTCTTATCTTATTCAACAGAAATAAGTTTTCGTAATTCTTTGATTTCCCCCTTTTTATTCTTTATTCAAAAACGAAATCTTACATTTGACCAACTAACTGTTGCCGAAATTGTCTTCGTTTTAGATTAGTTTTGAAAACAATTTTGAAAAGACTTTAATGACGATAGTTCGTCTTTAAGGACCAGAAGGTTTTTCAATAGCCAAGGCCGTCACTGTTGTCATCAACAAAGTGATTAATTAAAAAAAAAATCAGAGAGTAAAGTTAAAAAAAAAATATCCTTCGGCATCAAAACGTGTTACGTTGTGTATTTGGATTAGTGCTAATTCTTACAATTTTTGTTTTGTTTGGCTTAAGAAACATAAATAATTATGTTTGATTTGGTTTGTATAGTTTTAAGCAAATATATGGGAGTTATAAAGTCTCACTTACATTTGTTTTGTTTTTTTCTAGTTAAGTTGATAAAATATAAAATCAATAGCCGTCGATCAGATATCCCTAGACGACTATATAGGTAAGACTTATTGTTTTTTGTCTTGAAATTCGTTTGCAAATTTGTTTTGGCATGTAGTGTTGAAAGCATTTCAACAGATCACAGTAGCTTCATCTAAAAGGGAACTGTTAATAACATATAGTTTGGTACACTATTTAATTTGTATTGATCGAAAGTCAAATGTAAAAATAAGAAGATGTGGTATAATTGCCAATGAGACAACTCTCCATCTGAAACCAAATGACATAGAAGTTAACAGCTGTATGTCACCGTACGGTCTACAACAATGAGCAAAACCCATACCGTATAGTCAGCTATAAAAGACCCCGAAATGACAAATGTAAAACAATTCAAACGAGAAAACTAACGGCCTGATTTATGTACAAAATAATAAATGAAAAACAAATATGATACACAGCAACAAACAACAACCAATGAATTACAGACTCCTGAATTGGGACAGGCACATACAGAATGTGGCGGGGTTAAACTAGTTTGAAGGCGCCAACCCTCCCCTAACCCGGGACAGTGGTGTAACAATACAACATAAGAACAAACTATAAAAATCAGTTGGAAAGGGCTTAAAAAATCATGCATCTAAGACTAAAATATCAATCAGTACACATCCAACATCCAATGGATTTAGTGTAAAGACGTCATTAACAGTCAGAGAAAAACATGACCTAGTGCAATGCCAAGATACAGGTATCGACAGATTGTAGAGCCATGGATGTGCATATGTATATAAAAATAATATTTAGTTTGATTTTAATTTACTGATAACAAAATCAATATTAATACCAATAAAATCAATTGTTCATTCAAAAGAAAGTATATTTTTAAATTTATATATATGCATTAATAAAAAAAAACCCAACAAAATCCTAATAAGTGAAAACTATTTTGTTTTCAAGCCACAGGCTGGTGCTTTTTTTTTTAAAGATATAGAGCACACAAATGTGTTGTGTTTGTATGTTTGGGTGTGTGTTAGTATGTGTGTGTGTTGTGAAATTTTGATTATTAACAGAATATTTACGTTATAGATCATAAGGACTTTTTCCAATATGGACGAGAAATATGGATTTCTGCTCCTTTGCTTGCTAGCGCTTACGGACGCAGGTATATATACATATGATTATTTTTTTATTCCACAAATCTTACACCCAACTTCATGACAGTGGTTACAAAGCAACGTGTCGAAATTAATTTTATTTTGAACCTATAGTCCACAGTTTCCACAATAAAGTACATTACCTTTTGATGTTGATGTAACTGTATCCTAAAACTATTACAATGTTATTATATAAATTACATTGTTTCGACTACAATCGCACGCCAATCTTTATCCTAAAGGACAGTTTATTGGATAAAAAGTTAAATCACAAAAATACTGAACCCCTAGGAAAATTCAAAACGGAAAGTCCCTAATCAAATGGCAAAATCAAAAGCACAAACACATCAAACGAATGGACAACAACTGTCATATTCCTGACTTGAAAGTGATGGATTGCCACGCCTATAGTAAACGAGGTCCTATGAACTTAGCCTGGCGTTCTGACCTAATCTAATACTTCGTCTTCTGTCGAGCAGTGGGCCAGGATCCCAGGCTACTATATTAACTGACTTCATATAGCTGTCATTATGAGGGAAAATATTCCAGATATATTTAGACATTTAGTTGGGAACCAGTATTCGATATTTGAAGAAAATAAATATATTGATATCTCTAGTTGTTTCAGTATCAAAAGTGTTGAGTAACGAACATGACTGAATTATAGATTAAGTTTGTGAAGTCGTATACACCCCCTTTTTGTAGTCCGTATACACCCCCTTTTTGTAGTCATCACATAAAGAAATACAAAAGATCTTCAGGTTTTGTGATTTTATAAGAATTGCAAATATTCAACAAATTCAAATTCTCATGCAGGATGATTTTCCTTTTTCCTCAACATTGCCTGATGAAGAGAGTGAGAGAGGGGTAGGAGGGGTGTCATCCCGAATTTCCGGGAAAAAAGGCTGAATACCGAAATCCCGAAAAAATAAAGCCTTTTATGCCGAATCCCGAAAAAATTAATCATTGATTCCCGAGTCCCAATAAGAGTAAATCCCGAATTCACACAAAAATTTAGGCCCAACCCGGAAGTCCCGAAAATATCTGTCCAAGAATTTAGTTTATTTAAATTTTCAAAGATTAAAATCAAACAAAAATATTTTACACAAATTCGTCTTCAGATACGTTAATTGATATAGTATAGTCTGGATTTTACTAGAAAATAGCCAATGTAGAAATTTGCTGTCATTTCAACTTGATTCAAACTCAATTATGTATATTTTATTGTTTTTTATAAGAAATTCACTCCACCCCTAGTCCTATAATATAAGACTTCGTAGGTTCATATCGTTTGCATTCAACGTAAAAATATCCGATAAAAAACGTAGATGTTATAGCAACTATAGGTCATCGCACGGCCTTCATCAATAAGCAAAACCCATACCGCAATAAGGAAGCCATAAAAGGCCCAGACATAACAAAATGTAAAGCATCCCAATCGAGAAAACAAAAGCCTTAATTATGCTCAAAACAACAAACGAGTAACAAATATGATACACAGCAACGAACGACAACCACTAAATTACAATCTCCTGCTTTGGGACAGGCACATACAAAAATGCGAGTCAAACATATTTTTGTGCGTTGTAAATTACACACTTTCAAAGAATTAAGTTCGAAAGTACACAATTATTACCAATTCACCATGATAATGAAGGTTTATTTCGGATTCAAACTAATTATATTCGGTTAGCTATGCAAGTTAATAAAAAAATACAGGGGAAATTGTCCGCATCTTTTTGCACCGAAGAATATCCGACGAAAACGGTATTTTTTATCTATCACATTTTTGTTCATAAAAGTAAAAATTAACATTTAAGACTAGTGTGTGAAATGCATTACCTCTTTTACCAAATATATTCACGCACTTAGCGAAAATGTATAAATTTCAATTGACAAAAGAGAGGCACGTTTTTACTGACTTTTATTGCAAAAGAGAACTTTCCCCTTATACACAAGATTTTCAAGCAAGTACAATGTAATCTTACACTCGTACAACTCCTGATCACTCCTCTGTTTTCATATTTAAAATTTACGACTCCAGGATATCTTTTACAGTTGATTAGTATTTGAAACATCGGTACTAAATATATCATCTTATGCACCGATTTGTTTTCCTTTTTTGGAAGAGGATGCATTTTTTTAAAAATAAAATGTTTGACTAAATGTCTTGAAAAATGCATTGTTTATTTTGAAATGGAATGGGAAAAGTAGTTTAGTTGGATTTTCTACTGAAAATTATTTTTAATTTAATTTATTTTGAATCCATGTAAAATGTCCCAATATGAAGTTCAAAATACGGTTGTCAATTACAGCAGATTCCATTGAGTGTGTAGCCAAAGGTAATATCATTGGTTAGCTTGCTTGTTAGCTGAACCGTGAAGTCATTATTAGGTCAGGTATACTACCCTCCTTTCGAAGTAGCATAGTCCAACAGACAGATCGATTGGTTTTCTGTCGGACAAGTCTATTCATAAAGTAGGGTAGTTTACCTAACCTAACAATGACTTCACGGTTCAGCTAACAAGCAAGCTAACCAAAGATATTACCTTTGGCTACACACTCAATGGAATCTGCTGTAATTTAAGAAGGCGGGACAAACGGTCATTGGTATCCAATGTACAAAGTGTTGAAGAGCGGTGATGCTCAAACACGTCGAATGACATTGTCATGAATAAATGACAATGTTGTATAAACAACAAAAGGGGCTACTACATAATCAGATTGTTTAATCCTAATTCAAAATAAAGTTGAAATTGACAAGCAGCTTTGTAACCACTGTCATGATGTTGGTGTAAAAAGTATCTTATATGGTACTTTAAACCATTTTCTGCGTCTTTTTTATACGACGATATTTGTTACAAGTTCAATTGCATCCGGTTCAATTGTTCATTCGGAATCCTTTAAAGCAGAACAATATTACATATGTATAGCATTCATTTTAATATCATTATCTATATTAATACCAAAAATTGTTCCTATGTGAATACAAAGTATCTACTTTTTGCCATTTTTTTTCGATAGGAGATTTATGTTGTTCATATCCGTGTCAGCATGGAGGAGTTTGTCTAACGGAGGGATTTGATAATTATGTATGTGACTGTACTGGCACGGAATTTTATGGACGACATTGTGAAGCTCGTAAGTATACAACCTTGAATCTATATAACTTTCAAGTTAAAAAAAACCAAACAAAACAAAACTAAAAAAAAAAAACAAACAAACAAACAACAAAACACAGAAAAAAATTATTTAGCAGGAATGTCTTGAATTTTTCAATGAGAGAAAACTAAAAGTAAACTATTTAAGTTTTAAGGGACGAAAAAAAAAAATAACAAACGTAAAAAAAATGTTAGTGAATTTGACCTGTAAATACTCTGACAATTCCTTCGTATAACCATACAAATGCATTACATGTAATGTTTCTATATTGAAGAAAGTATACTAATATATCAAAATTATTTAAAACATTAGAGTATAAATGGGCTTAAATTAAATAGTCTGTAAAAAGCCTGCTGTTAATGGTTGACAATTCCTTTGTGTTACCTCAAAATCGCTTTCGGATGTTTCTATATTTGAATATCGAGATAATACAATATCTTTATATGATTAATCTAATGAGGAAAGAAAATCATGAGGAACATTAGATTATGAAAGGTCCTTGTTTAATAGTCAAATCATATACGTAAGCTTTGAAAGCTATTCTGGAAGGAGTTGGAACCTTAGATGTGAAAAATACATACTGCGATTATTGACGTTTACACGAGATTGATTGAAAAAGGCAAATTAAAAAAGGGGAAGTCCATAAAAACTGACAAATTCAAAAGTTATCAATCAACAGAACAAGTGAAAAACAACAAGGAATTAATGAAACCCGTTGCAATACTGACAATATTTAGAAAATGCATGAATAATTATATGAACTAAAATATTGCTGAGCATAAAAAAAAAAGAAATTACAGTGGCAATTAGGGGAATAGTTGGACCTATTATACAGGATGCGCTTCTTACACAAAACTGCTCCAACGGTTATGAAGAACGATTGAAATCGACACAGCTTAATTCATACGATCACCATCATGATTTGGTTGACCGATACGAAAATAGTATCAAAGGAAAATCATTTGAAATTTATATGTAAGGTTGTCGGTTCTTTTCCGAAGTACCGATAGATGAATATACGAGCTTTGATACCTGCCAAGAACATATTTTTTTTCTTTTACTTTTCTTTTAAGTAGCGAGGTTTTTAATAATTGACAACGCAGGTTGTCTCCTACGTCTTTTTTTTAGATTATTTTTGCATATGCAAACCTACGTTTTTCTAAATATGAATCAGAGAATATCTGTTATTGCAAGATTTCTTATGACGATTGAAAAAAAGGTTTCCCATAGCATTTTGTCGTTTTGATATATTCAATTTCTTTTTCTGAAACACATCTAATCATTTTTTAACACAAACTTGAAAATTATTAGAAGGATGTCTCATCATCTTAGGACTCATCCCCTAAAACATATCTATACCGGCATACATATGTGTTTCATTTTTAAAAAAGAACCTCTATTAAAACCGTTCTTTTTCCATTTTTAAGTGCTTTGGACCCACAGAATTTCTTAAGTTTTTTTTTCTCATTTAAAGCAATTGTATTTTTTTAAATAGAAGAAAGGATATCCATAGGTCAAGGTGTCAAAGAATTCATTGTTATTGCTCATTCATTATTTAAAAAAAAAATAGAGACATATCGTTGATCCTCGAAAACTCCATATACATGTAACTAGAATTAAAATTCACATTGACTTCACTATAATCTTCAACTTCTGGTCTGTGCACTGTTTGTGCGAGAGGCTTTCTTCTGATATTTGGCAAATAAAAAGTAAACGTATTGTGTATATCCATGGAAGTGTTATATTGTTAATATAATACGTCCGTGGTATATCTAATTATTTTTCAGCTACTTTGTCAAGACGCATCAAATTATGGTTGAAGCCAAGACCATCAACAATGCACAACTTGCTGACTAATTATGAATGGTTGTGGAGTATTGTGAACAATATACCTTTCTTGAAAAATTTTATAATGAAAAACATTATCCTTAGTGAGTATTGCTGTACTGATATCTAGAAAATTCCCCTATCTTGATATTTGCATTGAAAACTGTTGCAGAACACGTATTTACAACAGGTATTGCAATTATTGACAATAATACGGAAATTAACAATGATTTTTAATTTCCTTGCTTCAACAAATCATAAAGCATATTTTTTTTATCTTATTTTATATGTATATTTATGATAGACACACATACAGTGCTTAAACTGAAACGCATATTTCTCTTTCCGTATCCGGCAGAATTCTACTTCGCCAAAATCGTCTCCCCCTTATCGTATTGATTTTTTTCAACCAAGAGAAGGTATTGCCGTTAATTCTAATCACATTGCATCATTATGACCCCTACACGAAAGAAAAACGTTTTGAAATATTTTTAGGCCTTGATATTACATAAATAAATTGTCTGATTAGTTGTTGAGGTGGATTTTGGAAAGTTCGATAAAAACTAAAAAACACATGTAAGACTAAAAGTTTTTAGGAGTTGAAGACGAATAGCCACTGATAATACACAACTTTTTCTTTTTAATTTCTGAAGTAATGCATTTTTAAGATCCAAAAGTAAAGTCTGTCGTCAATGGTGTTAGGCTGAAAAAATTAAAGTTTCAATAGTTTTTGCAGCACAAAGTTATTTTCTTATGTTTCTTACTTTATATTCAATATGGTTAACGCCCCCTAACAACCAACTAGACAATGATTTTAAGTTGACAAAGTACATTAAATGATTGATTTTGTCTTACACATTCAATTTTCAATGATGCCATGTGAATACATTTATCGGTTTTGAAGAGCTTAATCGACAGCGCGTCATCCCTACAATTGCTATCGTTTTAACAATTAAATAAATAAAGTGTTATAATTTTGTGTACAAACACTCGTATAATTTATTGTCACAATCTATAAGGAGATTATCTTTTATAGTGAGAGCTGGTATGGTTGATAGTCCCCCACAATACGACAACGAACACAATTACATAACTCTTGATGCAAACTTCAATCATTCCTTTTACACAAGGACATTACCACCCGTTCCAGCGGACTGTCCAACGCCATTAGGTGTCGCTGGAAGAAAAGATTTACCAGATTTAGATATTTTGGCTAAAAATCTACTTTTTCGAGAGAAGTTTAAGCCAGATCAAAGGGGAACAAGTGTTCTGTTCCCTTTTATGGCACAACACTTTACCCACATGTTTATAAAAACTGACATGAAGCGTGGACCACAGTTTCAATGGGGAGGACATGGGGTGAGTGGTTTAACATTTGTGATATCTCCATTGTAAACATGAAAAAATGTAAGTTGCTGTAAGTTCAATGTTTGATTCTAAGGATATATATAAATAACAAAATCTGACAAGAATTTATTATCCAGTTCGCTCTTGTTTAAAATTCTATTTTGTATTTTTTTTAAAATTGAGAATGGAAATGGGGAATGTGTCAAAGAGACAACAACCCGACCATAGAGCAGACAACAGCCGAAGGGCACCTATGGGTCTTCAATGCAGCGAGAAACTCCCGCACCCGGAGGCGTCATACTTATCATGCTTTTTAAATGATTTTGGATTGATATTCACTATATTTCTTGAGTTTCAATTATATCGAATGTAAAGGATAAAAGCATATTTGCTGGAAAATTATACTGTTGAATTAAACGTAGAACTTTCCAAAGAGGTTCATGCTAAATTTCAATGAGTGAAATTACAAAAATAATGCATTTTCTAAAAAAATGGCTTTATAATAATTTTCGCCTTTTTTCTCAGCTAGACGTGTCGCATATATATGGAAAGGACAAACATGATGAAGATTTGTTGAGATCGTTTAGAGATGGCAAATTTAAACTTCAGGTCAGTTCTCATATCAAGTTGTAGCGTAAATAAAATTATGCGAACAAATTCAATAAGACGTATAAAAACCGAACTAATTTTCAAACTATTTGTTTCATTTTGTTCCCCAATTGATTAAAGGGTGCTGAACGGCGAGTACGATTTATTTCATAAAATGTAGAAGGATATTTTTTGTGATTTTGATATTTTAACTTGAGGCTTAAATTTGATTTTCTTGTATAAAAACGTAGTATTTTGCTAAAGAAGTACTTTTGTGTTATTGCGTTGCTTTCTGCTTTCTCATTCCCCCCCCCCCCCAAACCAAACACGAAAACAGACTTCCATCATCTGATCCTGTATTTTACATTCACAATCCTTTATGCATCAAACAATAACTGAGCTGTATTCATCCTTGAGGTAGCCTAATTTAGATTTTTTTTTATTTTGGATTCGTTGTGTTGCTAACTAAAAGAAATATTGTGAGATCCGTAGTTTTTGTATGTTAAGTCGTATTTCATTAGTAGGCGTCATCACAACCAATAAGTTAATACATGTAACACTAGTTTCTAACTTCCTACACAAAATAAATAGTTCTGTAAGTTTTTGGTATAATAATTGATCTGGACTTAGTTTTTATTACATTTTATTGGAATTATAAGTACAAATATAATTTTGAAGGAGTTTATTTATGTCTAAAACCAGCCTACTCACTAAAAAATGAACAAAGTCAGAAACACTTAATGTAGAGTCTTTGGGTGCAAGGGATTCTTTTGGCTGACTCACTCATAAACTGAATGTCGTCAGAAGTTTGGGAGTGAAAGACCCAGTTAACACATCAATAAACTCCATGAAAAACCATTATAAGTAATTTTTTAATTTCTTTTCAGACTATAAACAATGAAGAATGGCCTCTTCACAATAAGGATGTTAATATGAAGCTGAACTTCTTTGACTTTGTACCGGTTATGGAAAACAATAGTTTTGCCCTTGGTCACGCTTTCTTTAACAACTTTCCTGGGCTGTTTATGTTTTCTACTATTTGGATGAGAGAACATAATCGTGTTTGTGATATAATGAAAAAAGAACACCCAGAATGGGACGATGAACGTCTCTATCAGACAGGAAAACTTATCGTTTTAGGCAAGTATCTGAAAATGGTAAATGCGAGAGTATACCAAAAGTAAATTTTATATACACTTTTCTTACAAGCCAAGAAGATTGAAATCCCCACTGTTCCAATATGAGATTTTCCATATGAGTGAACAGAGGTTTGTCATATACACCAATGAAACATAAATGAATTAAGCCAGGAAAGACATCTGGAGGGCAACATACTTATTTTTTCAACAATAAATACGTGTCTATACCACATGTCAAGTTTCAGGGCTTCCATTTTCTATCACCATTTCCTTGATAGAAGATTGCGGTTTACGAGTAAGCTGTTCAACCAAAGGTTATAAATGATAAAGTAGAAGTTATCCCTTCGAAATGTTTACGGGCGCCATCATGACTTAATTAACCAATATGATATACCTTCAATGATAAACGCGACCGCGGCCAATAGTGGAGCATGAACTGCTTTCTCTTTCGGAGCAATAGAGTTTATTCTGTAGTTTTGGTTTGGTTGCTCGACCTTTAGTTTTATATGAAGTCTTTTTTTTGACTTATTTGTCTCTTCATGGTTATATTTTGCAATGTTCATAATAGTGTTGGCTGTTTTTATTGCAGTTATGGTTCATAATTTGCTCTAACGCGAGGGTACCCAAATTCCTCTTATTTTGAGTTTTTTTTACTTACGTTTATCTAAGATCCAGCCAAAAGTTTCAATTCTGTAGATGTATCCTTATTTACTCTTTAACTCCGCAAATTTTGAAATTTTGAATCCATACATAATTATAGAAAAATGGTTTTCAATCGACCTCTAAACGACCCAAGATTCTGTAATGAGGAGTACCTAAATTGCATCCAGACTTTTCCGTAGATTTACTTTTTTCACTGGATACTTCATCTATATTATCTAGTATAGTGTGACCGTTATGCAATCCTGTGGATACTAAAAAATTCCAAAGATCTTTTAGAGTACATACACTCTAAGACCCTTTCATCTTGTAATAGTATTAAAACATTTGAATTTTCTACACTTTACACAAGTAATCCCCAATCCAAACTGAAAGACAAATTGAAAGAGTTGGTCCTGCTTTGTCCGTCCGTCCTTAACAAATTGTGTCGCTCTATATCTAGGGAACCGTTATAATTTCATACTTTATACATGACATGCATATCAACCAACACCAGAGGGTGTGTCATAATGTTTGTACAACTTCCTAGGTCAAAGTTCAAGGTCAAAAACTTTGGTTTCAGTTGACAACCCCATGTCCTATGGTAAAGATCGTGTCCACTCTATATCTTGAGAACCGTTATGATTTCAGAGTTTATACTTGACATGTATACTAACTAACAATAGAGGGTGTGTCATAATGTATGTATAACTTTCTAGGTCAAAGGTCAAGGTCAAAAACTTTGGTTTCAGTTGACAACCCCATGTCCTATGGTACAGATCATGTCTGCTCTATATCTTGAGAACCGTTGTGATTTCAAAGTTTATACTTGACATGTATATTAACCAACACTAGATGGTGTGTCATAATGTATGAACAACTTCCTAGGTCAAAGGTCCGTCCGTCTGTCTATCGGTCCGTCCGTCCCTAACAAATTGTGTCCGCTCTATATAACTTAAAAAAGTGCTTCATATCAGCTTACCAATACAAATTTTTTACCACACGTTATTTACAGCGGGGCCCACAGAGATCAGGGCCGTAACTAGGTCTCAAAAACAGACGAGGCAGGGGTCTGGGGTCGCCAACTGAGGCCCCCTAGGTAAAGGGGGCTGAGGGGAGCAAAGCCCCCCGGCCAAAAATTGTAGTATTAGGGTTCGAAATATATCTTGTAACATCCATTTTTGTATCATATTTATCGTTTGTGTTTCAAATTTACTGTATGAAGAAATGCGTTATGCAACCAGAGCCGGCTGATAGATACTTGCCTCGAATTTTGTTCCATCAAAACATATATCCATTTACAGTAGGGTACATGTTTAATAGTAGAAAAGCAAAAAAGAAAAAACAGCTTCTGCGTTTACTTGGCCGACATTGTCCGTACGATGGACGTGAAACATGACCAAACAACGTAATCTGTCCTCGGTCGAAATTGTTCAGAACCTTTTTCGCGGGAAATAAATAATTGCTAAAACAATTGCCGGTTTACTGGCGATAGTAATCAGATAGAGAGTTCGATTAACGTAGTTGAAATAAAAGTACACAAGCTTAAAGTCAACATTAATTACTATTCGAAGTATGTATTACTTAATTGTTGAATGAAATGAAAATGTAAGAATGTTTTCTACCCCTGCATGCCCAACCTTTTACCATTTTCTTTTTTTTTCTCTTATTATTTTTTTTTTTTCTCTTATTATTTTTTTTTTTTGCCAAAAATTCAGACGAGGCCTTTGCCTTGTCTGCCTCATCGGTAGTTACGGCCCTGGAGATGGCTCCCATCTCAATGATGTCTAGTTTATATGAGGCTGAATTCATACAGGAACTTCTTAGGAAGAAAAAAAAAGAAGGTAGCAGTATCATTTAACTTCACTTGCCGCTTTATAGATGATATTCTCTCACTAAATAATTCAAAATTTGGTGACTATGTTGAACGCATCTATCCCATCGAACTTGAAATAAAGGATACAACGTATACAGTTAAGTCTGCATCATATCTTGACTTACATCTAGAAATTGACAATGATGGTCGGTTGAAAACAAAACTTTATGACAAAAGAGAAGATTTCAGCTTCCCAATTGTGAACTTTCCATTTCTATGTAGCAACATTCCAGCAGCACCTGCTTACGGAGTTTATATCTCACAGGTGATACGATATTTCAGGGCTTGTATTTCCTATCATGATTTCCTTGATAGAGGGTTGGTGCTCACAAGGAAGCTATTAAACCAAGAGTTTCAAGTGGTGAAATTGAAATCATCCCTTCGTAAAATTTACGGACGCCATCACGAGTTGGTTGATCGTTATGGAATATCACAAGAGGACAACGGATATGTTCCAATTGTCGTAACTACAATCCCGTCCCCTTTTCTCCTAATGTGACCTACCGAATTAGACTTATCGCCGGGTTTGTACTAACATGAGCAACACGACGGGTGCCACATGTGTAGCAGGATCTACTTACCCTTTCGGAGCACCTCAGATCACCCCCAGTTTTTGTTGGGGTTCGTGTTGCTTAGTCTTTGGTTTTATATGTTATGTTTTGTGAACTGTTGTTTGTTGACAATTGTCGTAACTTCAATCCCGTCCCCTTTTCCCCAAATGTTACCTACCGAATGAAACTTATCACCGGGTTTGTACTAACATGAGCAACACAACGGGTGCCACATGTTACCCTTTCTGAGCACCTCAGATCACCCCCAGTTTTTGGTGGGGTTCGTGTTGCTCAGTCTATAGTTTTCTATTTTGTGTTTTGTGTACTATTGTCCGTCTCTTTGTCTTTTTCGTAAAATATGTAGGATTTAAAGACTCTGTATTGCTTGGCCTGGATCATAATTTCAATAATGGCCTTTCTCAACTCACTAGCAACATGTTTTTGCTTTCTAAGATACCAGTATAGTCATCTGATCTGTAATTTTACCAAATGTGTCCTATTCCGGATTATCATTCGGTGTGAGGCTCCGTGTTGAAGGCCCGTACTTTGACCTATAATTGTTCACTACTTTTTTACACATTGTGACTTGGATGGAAAGTTGTCTCATTGGCACTCATACCACATCTTCTTATTTCTATTATGATATATTGACTGAGTGTGGATTACCATGGCGATTGATGCATGCATACCCTGTCGGCGAACCCAGTCTCGCTCCTTATTGAGTTTATGCGATTCCTTAAGTTTTTGTTTGTTACCTTGATATATCTCTTTATAGATTTGAGATTTGAGAATCGGTAAATTACTGTCACCTTAACTCTCTGAAACCTTATCAAATACATGTAATCTCCTTAGTCAGGGAACAGTAATGCCAGGTCTTTACTGGATCTTTAGTGGTTTGCATTATATTTCAAAATCAGAACTAACGAAAGGTTCATTTAGGAACGCACTGTCAAATTTGAAAACGCACATGATTTAATAACATAGATATTAAAGACGACTAGCATAAAGGTAATAAAGATCTTTATACACTTGGTTACTGAATAGTTGTATTTTTTATGTTAAAACTTATGTTTTGTTTTTTTTAAATAAATGGAAATGATTTCAAAAAGACGAATTTACAGTACAAAACAATAAATTTAATGAAAACATATGATAAATTATAAGTGGATTTTACTGTCCTGCCTGTGAAACATAGCGATTCGTCATTATAGAGGGAGGTTATTTAGCAGAACCTTCATGGAAATTTATATGATTTGGACAGAAGCTTTTTCATCATTAAAAACGGTATCAAGAGCATAATTTTTATCATCAAATCCGTTATTTACTGACATTTAACATTTATATACAGTCTGGGTCAAAGTTTCTTTAAAGTCATGTGATGCTCCGTACGCAGAAAATTTACAAAGCGTTTATTTCATTGGTATATTTTTATCACCAGCCCAGCAGTCAGCACTTTTGTGTTGACAGGAAATATCATATGTTCATATTTTTTTTTTAATTTACTGTTGATAAATTATTCGAAACACTAAGGTTTCCAGGCATAGATTGCCTCAGTAGTATTTGGCTCAACTTTTCGGAATTTTCGGTTTTTAATGTCCTTCAACTTTGTATTTGATTTTGCCTTGCAACTGCTTTGAATCGAGTGCCACTAATGAGTCTTATTTTTACGAAACACGCGTTTTTATATGCCCGACATGAGTTTTTACAGGTAAAAAAACAGGTCAAATATTACTTCAATTCAGAAATAAACTTAAATTGTTAGAATATCACACATTATGTTTCATATACTAGTACTAGTACGTGTAATTAAAAGTATGCAACCGAGGATGACACCGCGTTGTGGAAAATGGTGGTTTGGACATCGATTATTACCAAGCCTCAGCGAGCTTACGCCAAGATTTTACTTACTATCATCAACATAACTACATTGTTACGACAGGGGTAGACTTTTTTCATGGCTTTAATTTAAAATTGGTAATGAGAACTATGTTTCAAATACAATTCCTGAAGTTGTAATACAATATGCATCATCATTTTATTTTAGGAGAGACGATGAAAATTGTCACAGAGGAATATATACAGCATTTGAGTAACTATCATTATCAAATTTTGTATAAACCAGAACTTTTGTTTGATGTACCATTTCAATACCAGAATCGCATTGCTCTTGAATTCAATCACTTATATCACTGGCATCCGTTGATACCTGATGATTTCATATTTGGAGGAACAAATTACACTTTAAAACAACTCCTTGGTAATCCTGGAATAGTTATAAAACATGGAATGGCCTCGTTTGTGGGTTCACTGTCCAAGCAGATTGCTGGTAGTGTAAGTACATTTTAAGATTGTCTTGTAAACGATGTCGTTTTTGATACTGATTCTTGAAAAGAGAGTAGTCTTTTAGATCAATAAAGAATAACGATAAACCTACAATCCCTTAGTATTCCATATGGTAGGTTTAACAACGGTCTTAATTTTTTTTTTATCTTTTCTCTAGGTCATTATGGAGTCTTAAATCATACTACTTTTCAAATTAGAACTTTTACAAAAGAATGGTTATTAACATTTGAAACCTTGCAATATCAAATCGTCAAAAATTTACCATTGCCAATGTTTGAACCTTTATAACATAATCATTTGAAAATCCTTACATAAAGAGAAATAGTAAAAGGATTATCATGCGTATGACACAAAGACCCAATAAAACCATATTCAGACCGAAACACTACTGTATGTAACAAATCATTAAAAAATGAGATAATTATATTGGTATGTTCAGTGGACGATGTATGTATCTAGTATGCAAATACTTAGACTTTATCTTTATATAAGCTATTTTAACACCAGTGAAGCAAGAATTGATGATCCTTATGAAGAGCAATTTGGTTCATAATAGAGCTCGTTTTGCTAAGTATTTAGTTTTCGTTAAACTGTTTTGTAGGCTAATATTTGTTTTTTCATCTTTTTCTATTTGTTTTGGTTATGTCATTTTTTTCGACTTTTACGTGACTCAACATGACCCTTAAATATTCATGACAAGAAACATAGTATCTTTTTATTATATTTTGCAGTTCACAGTAAAGAATCATCCACATTTTGGTGTAAAAGTTGCGAAGGACGTTATTAAACATGGCCGCGAATTACGTCTACAATCATATAATAATTACAGAAAAAGATTTAATTTACAACCGTTTCAATCATTTGAACAATTAACAGGTTAGTTTGCAGTATTGCAGTAGTTCTGGCAAGAAAGTGGTTCATTTGTTTCTAAAAGGAAGGTGGAACATAATCAAAATATATGAACTCGATAATATTCGTAAACTTAATTAAAGCCAGTCTAAAAACAGCACTTAATAAGTCCCAATTCTCTTTCAGATAATTTGAGACACACAAATCCCTGCGAACGATTTGTTATTTTACCTATCTTTGTTATTTTTAATAATAAATATTTTTTTCATATTGGGGCATTTATAGATGATAATTTTCATAAACTTAAACATCAAAATTATTCAACTGTGTAAAATATATTGTGTAAAATACATTTCCAAAAAATGTATGGTAACATCTTTAGTTACAGGATGCGTGTTACTTCAAAATAAGTTTACGGCATTCATGGGAATCAACATATCTAAAATAAGTTAATATATATGATTTCAACAGCAGTGGCTGATCAACAACAAAAATGGTTGAGGTGAGAGTCCCACCTATAACCTGTAAATAATTATTACAAGGCAGTTAAAAATGAAAAAAAAAAACATGGTGAAAAAAACTAAAATTTTCGGCTATAAGGGGTAACCACCTTGAATCCGCCCCTGAACAGTACTGTCATACAAATCAATAATAATGTTGTTTACTGGCACTATTATTGTATTGTCTAGATTATACATCCAATCAGACAACAAATCCATCATATGCTATTTGGAGGAAAAAAAGCTTTTAACATAATTAAAATATAATTTCACATATAAATATTTGAAGCTTGAAAAGATAATAAAAAATAAAGATATAAAGTCATAAAATATATTTTTTAGGCAATAAAAAGTTAGCCAAAGAACTAGAAACCTTGTATGGCGATATCAATGGAGTAGAGTTTTATGTTGGTCTACTCAGTGAGAAACTTCGGCCCAAAGCAATGTTTAGTGAGACAATGATGGAACTTGGGTCTCCATTTTCTTTGAAGGGTCTCATGTCTAACCCATTGAGCAGTCCAAAATATTGGAAACCGTCAACATTCGGTGGTGCTGTTGGGTTTGATTTAGTTAATTCTGCAACTTTAAAGAAACTCTTTTGTCAAAACATAAATGGTGATTGTCCGGAGGTGTCATTTAGAATTCCAGGATTTGTAGAAAGACAAGAAGAAACTGTAGATGAATGTTATAGAAATTGTTCAGAATATGAAGAACTATGAGTCCTTCTATTTTACGCAAAAAATTTCGTGTAATCATTAGAAAATAACAATTTCAACAAGACTAAGGCAATAAAAAATGTATAATACTGACCAGTAATTATGTCCTCAGACACATTTTAAATGTGACTATCGTGTATGTCCCGACTTGAAACATGAATTCTCAACAGAAAATGATTGGTGAAATTGATTTTACATGACAAAATTAAACAGTCGCATGTACACCAGAAGCAGTTGATAATTTGTGTATCACTGTCAGTTTTAGGCGATACATAAAAATTAACGAAATGTCTAAATTTGTCTAGAAGGAACACTAATGTCAAGGGGGACACCATAACTTAGAAAAAAACATCTACAAATGAAGGTTAAATAAATACAATAACGATCAGCAAAAGAATAGAATTAATAATAGAATTTGTTTGATATTTTCATTACAATTTTCATTTTCAAACTAGAATTATATAAATGTAGCTACATATACAGAGCTAAGGGCTAGATTTGTTTTGTTATGTTCTTTTTTTTATTAACCTTGTAATCCTGTAGTTAAAGGCACATAATACAACAGATTAAAAACAAAAAACGATCAAAAAGATTTAGTTGTAACCATTGTTTTGTAAGATGATCTAATGTACATGTATTGACATGCAAGTTCCTATCAGTTTGTAGGTTGATTGGGATCAAATGATTGTACAATCTGGTATCTATTGAAAATGGCTTGAAACTAAATATAATTATAAGCATTCACAAACATCTTGCGATTAGTGGTAGGATAAGGAGATGTGGTATGGTTGACATTGATACAACTACTATAAACCAACTAATTTTCGCGGATACTTTATTTCGCGTTTATTCCTTTCTAGTCCACTTCGCGGCGATTTAATTTCGCGACTTTCTAATTTACTTGATGAAGTTAAATAAGGAAAGATCCAAGTTTACATATTCGCGACGATTTATATTGGGTTATTTTTCCACTCGCGAAAGTCGCGAAAATAAGTTGGTTTACAGTATTCAATAATGTCCAAATGACGTGGATTTAAGCAATGATAGGTCAACGTACGGCCTTCATCAATGAGCAAACCCCATACCGTTTAATTAGCTACAAAAGACCTCGTCATGACAAAATGTGGAACAATTCAAACGAAAAAAAACAACGTTCTAATTGATTACAAAGCATTCAACGAAAAACAATATAACAGTGGGCAACCACTGAATTAGATGCTCCTGACTTATGACAGTCGCATACAAAATATGGCTGGGTAAAACATGTCTATGAGCGCTAAACCCTCCCCATAAACGGGTTGGGCTGTTCTATAAGGATCATTTTTTTGTTTTTCAAGCTTTCCGGTGTTTTATATTTTTGGCTTTAAAAATTTGGTCTTTAGTGAGCTGATGAACGCACGGTAATAATTTTATGTTTTATTTTTTATCATGTACTAATATGAATAATCGTAGAACTGGTAAACTACTACCGTTATTATAATAACAGAAATAATTCAGTCGTTGTATGACGCTGCTCTACGATTGCTATATTAACCTCTCGAGTGGGAGAGTCGATTACGTGGATGGACTGAATTGTTCGAGTTATTATCAATGAATGTGTACTGAAAACAGAAACTATAAAGCATACTTTTTCATATATATTGCTGGAAAAAAGAATAGACACAGAAAGCTGACGATTATAGATTGACGAATTTGGTTAAAATAAAGGATTAACAAGTGTCCTGAACTTCAATACAAATTTAATTTTTTTTTTAATAACGAATCCCTTGCTTGATGCAAATACACGTAATTAGGCGTTTTTTCTGATATTTTCATGATTTTTTTTTTTTATTCATTTAGAACTTGTTGAAATGCATCTGAATATCTAAAATTTGCTATATAGATCATGAATACTTTCAGAGATAAGGTATAAATTCCAAACAGAATGTTATCAAGAGCACAAATAAATGAGATTAGAGGGTTTATAATGTAGTATTCGACAAGACTTATTAGGGAAATGGGCGCACAAGTGGGTTTTTAAAGATTATTAAAATAAATATTCAATCATACTTTCCTCATTTTTCTTTGAATTGCCGTTGAAAAGTTTGCTGCATTTCTAAATTAACAAAAAAAATGCAATAAATGTCTTCCCTATTGGCATACAGCTTTTCGGCCCGGTCCGAACAGAAAAAAGACCACGAGCTACACAGGGAAATTTCACTCACATGAATTATAATTTCACCTCAAACGAGCTTATACGTGAAACTCACGTGAAATTAGTTCATGTGAAAATCACATGATTTTTTTCACGTGAAATTGATGTGAATTTTAAAAATTCTGTAAATCAAATAATATCTAGATTTTCAAATTTAATTAAAATCATGAAAAAACACCACTTTTTTATGAGTTTCATGTGTCAATTCACGTGAAATTCGCATGAAAATTTTCACGTGAGTTTCATGTATAAGCTCGTTTGAGGTGAATCTCACGTGAAATTTTTGGCGTGAATTTCACGGGAGATTCACGTGAGAAAATTTGCCTGTGTATAATACAACATATTCACTTCCGGTTGCAATGTTTTACTCCTCACAAAACTTTGGTGCATTTTTTTTATCTTATTTTGTAACTTGAAATAAGTTATTTCAATAAATAAAAAAGTTTAAAATATGTTCTGTTTGCTGTTACGACGAGAAATCACATCAATATTGACAAAATGCATCATTACTGGGAAAAGATAAGATATGATTTTTTGTACCTGCTTAACGACAAGTTTAAGTTAGTTTAATCAAGAATTAGAAACATTAAGTAAAAGCGTTTTGAACTGGCTGTTTCTGTATTGACCCTGATATAGTTCATTGTTCAAAATGACTAGATCAGCTGTATTCACCCTCGACTCTTCAAATGAGTTGTTTCCAACTAAAAACATCGTATTTTTCAAATACTCTTGGTTTGTTTTCTGTTGAGTCAATTAACATCAACTTTTATTATGGGTCTTATTTTTTCGTAAAAAATACTTTGATTTCAAAATAATTCAAACAAGGACTTTTTTTATTATAAAAACATCTATGTAATATTCCAAGATATTTTCTGCACTGCTTTTAAATTTACAGAAATTACAGGGTTAATAATTATTTCAAACATGATATATATACCAAGGATGTACATAACTAAAACCTGTACAGAGAGCAATCTGCAATTGTTGATAGGCAAAAGTATTCAACACATGAAATTAATAATTACAAACCAAAGATTGAAACTTCACCGGTTCTAAAAACCTGCATGGTAACATTTTGTATTTTCGGCCGTCAAAGCCACCATACGAATTGCCCATCCTTATTCCAAAATAAACAAATCATTAAATGAAATTAATTTACCTTATAAATGTGCTCAATTTTCCGATGATAGTTTAAAGTTTCAGATCTATAAATAACCAAGTTTGAGCCAATAAAATTCTAATTCGTAATTGTATAACTAGGCAAGGTCGAACCAGGCTCCTTTCAGATCAAGATTATCCCTTGTACGTTTGTTAATATTTTTTTTACAATAACCAGAGCTTCTATGACATTTTGTGAGAATTTGTGTGAGCTTTGTCCTTGATTATGTAAAATCCTATTTTACTTAGTAATTCACCTGTAGTACCCGAAATTATTTTTTCACGATATTTTGGCACCTTAAAAAGGATGGTCCTGGTTTGCATTTACCAAAGAAAATATATCTTAGTTATTTTGTATGTTTTGGACAAGACGAAGGCTCTGGTTTTCGCAGATGCCTTAGAACAAAGACATGGCCTAAGATGGTCTTAGGATATATGAGGGGTATGAGACCGTATGACACGCTTTTAGGATGCAATATATGGGAGGTTAAAAAAGTGGGGATGTGGAATATAGGGGCTTAAAGTTGGGAAAGTGGGAAGAAGAAAAAATTACAAAAAAAAGAAAAAACGGTATTTGGGAAATGAGCATCCCGTGTCATCCCCTCATATATTTTAGTCTTCCAGTGGCAAACATTTCATGCATACTTAGGACGATAATAAATTAACAATAAATCCGTATATCAGTTTTGCAAAGTGGGTCGACGTAGAAGGTGGGACATTCAGTAATATTTGGTCAAAGAAAAGCCGGGAGTTAAATGTTTACGAAGAGAAAAATGTATTATTTAATGTATAATTTTCTCATAGAATGGCTGCATTGCACTCTCACTGTGTAGTCTATATATTATACATATTGTAAAAGGCGAATGAGAAATAGTACACGAGTGAGGAGAAATGGACAAGAAACTGGTTTTTAAGAAGAAGAATCATTGAAACAGCCAGTACCTTCAATATTCTCTTTTAAGAACTTCACAATGAAGACTCGGTTGGAATTAGAAATTATTTTAGAATAGTCAAAACAACATTCAATCTACTAATTTGTAAAGTTGAACAACTGATTGAACTAAATTCATCCATCATTTTATTTCTCCACAGCAATTTTCTTTTACTCTTACTGGAACTTATCCTACTTGACCCGCCAATTTTGTCATGTGGTTTTGTTTTGTAATAAACTTTACATCATTCTTAAACTACACTATGATTGGCTAAGTCAACGTCCATCCAAGTCTAAAGAAAAATAGGATGTTCGTAAAAGTTTTTGATCAAAGTTTCTTCGACGGTTGTCATTATCAAAAATCCCCCAAAACTTTTACCAAGTGACAACAGGCCTTTACGAGCAGTGAACGCAGTACTGTCTTTTAAACCTTTATAAATCCATCGCAGTCTGCTACTTCAAAAAAGAGGATGTTTTATAGCGTCAGAAAATATAAAAATAAGAAGATGTGATATAATTACCATGTTTCGATACACTTGTAAAGATCATGACGAAGAAAAGTATAAAATGATTGTTCTCTTGTTCTATCCAATTTCTTTCAAACATGTTTTATCATCTCTTTTAAGATTTATTCTTAAATTATATATAAACAAGACCTTGAAATAAGAAATAAATCACTTTAATTAAGACCCTAATGTTCAAATCCGATTATGATTTTAATTATATTATTTCAAATCTGACGTTTCAGTTTATTCTTTGGATTTATATCACAATATAGCTGTTTTATTTTCAATAAATGTTCATTTTAATTTTGTTGTTCTATCAATGTCACAGTTTGAATACTATTTTGAAATAACTCGCAGCTATTTCACATTGTAAAGAAGACGGTTCAAAAGGTATACTGGTTAAAACGGGACACTTGTTTCCGTTGAAAGCTATTATTATAATTAAAGAATCAATTTAAGGCAAAGTATAACAAACACATAATCTATGTGGAAAATAGCGGCAACAGTTCGCTTCGAATGACGAGATCTGACATGATAGCAAAATACCGACGTAATTGATTTAATTGACAAGTCTGTGCACATTGGTGACAATGGATGCTCAAGTTCCTCAAGGTTAGATACTAAGAGAACGAGGGCCATGATCCCCAAATACGTCGGCTCATATTCGCATCACCCCCTGGTTGTCAGGGCAATACAGGAAAGGATCATAACCCCCTTAATCTTGCCAGATTCCGCCAAACATTTTTGAAGGTGACTAATCATTTTATTACAATATAATGAACTAATTAACCTCAAAATAAATGCTGATCGTTATCAAAACAAAATTTAAGTCTAATGCTTTCCTGGCGGACAAACTAATAACGCATATTGATAGTTCCATTTTCACTCTGCTAGTATTTGAATATCCTGGTAAAAATACAAACCACTCACTAAAATTAACAATAACATATAGTCCTCGAAAGTATGATTCAGCAAGCAAATCCATTGGCTTAGTTTGTCCTCTCTGTTTAGTCCAATAACATTATGAATCCGGCTTTTCTCTGTTCAGCCTGGAATATTATAAAACAGCAGCAGACAAAAGACATTGTTGGTAGATTGTAAGGGGAGGTGGGAGGGTTTTTGAAAATTTCACTTATCTATAAGAGTGGCTATTTCAATGTAAGACTGAAGAGTCGCCTGATGTTAATAAGCGGGAAACAAGATACAGGTCCGAATGATGCAATAGTTCTTTTACGGGAAAAATAGAAATTAATCAAATCTCTTTCATTAAATAGGTTTATCTTATAAATGAGATAAACAGTATTATTGAGATCGGTACCATACAGAAATAAGAAGAGTTTAAGCTAGTTTTCCTAATGTGTAGTGTTCTGTTAAATTTATGTTAAGCCGTAAAGGCTATCCGAAAGAAGGAGATGCAATAAGGCGTTTTTGTTTGGCCCCTTAATTTCGAAAACCAAAACGTATTTTAAACATCTCAAATAAGGTCATTCAGATGTTCGGATGACACAAATCTGTCAAGTAAAATCATTGTTATATACTTCATTCATTTATCAGTGTATATTTTTGAATTTTGTCTTATATATATATTCAAACTTTTGCATTTATATATAAAGCAAAACTGCTACGATAGCCAAATAGGCTTCTCTTTGAGATCTTGTCATAAATATTAAATAAGATCCTAGGCCTTCCTGAAAGATATTTTGCTAACATATAATTCAAAGAGGTTATTTTGGACGAAAACAAATATTTAGTAAGACCTTTGCTCATATATTATTTGCAAAAATATTGCAAATATACCAGAACTGCTTTTCGGTCAAATGTGGGAAGAAAATAAAATTACATTAATTCAAAACATGTCGTTTTGTTTTAATTTGGATTTATATCATAATCTGTTTATTTTCTTTGGAAGTTTTGAATAGTTAACTATCCAAAGTTAATTTGTTTATTCAATAATGTTTTAGTCGAATGAAGTAGCGTTTTGAATGGATTAACTATTCGTCAACAGTACAAGTTGTATTTTGAAAGGTCTCAAAGTAGTAGCAGAAAGAAGATCCAACTGTCAATACCTGGTGAGTACTCAGCATGGTTTTTCTCAATTTATGATAGTTTTTATCAATCAATTTACGGACAAAATTTAAATTCATACTAAGACAGCAACAGCAGCACTCAACAACGCAATTATATTCTTTCGAGGTACATTTATTAAAAGAAAGCTACCACAAAGAGAAACGACAAAAAATGATTAAGCATTAATTTATAGACAGCTTTATTTTTTTTTTATTAGACCACGGATTTGCTTGTTTGGGTTTCCAAGATGTAGCAAAACAAATGTCATTTTTATTTTCACAGGACAGTGGCACATCAATTATTCTTGAAAAAATGAAGAACATTTTTGGACTCATTTTTTTGTGTTTGTTAGTGGATATCTATGCAGGTATGAACTTATATCATATAGGACATACAAGTACTAATCTTTGTAAGGAACAGGGCAATTAAAAAAATACTCTGTTCGGTAACTATAAACAACAAAAAAATCTGTTGTGATAATCGCATAAGCAGAACTTGCCTTGAAAACTGTAGGCTGTCATTAATAATAATACTTATACCAGTACCAATGTTATGATATAAAAGAAATGGAAGATTTCAATAAATCGAAGACAAGACTGACAACTTCATGGCAAAAAAACGACCAAAAGACAAACAACAGTCTACAAAATACAACATAGAAAACTAACGACTAGGCAACACGAACCCATCCATTAACGAAAGATTATTTATATATGATAAAGTTTCCATTCCTATAAGCAAAAACTATAATGTACTCAATAAATTTAGTGCGTCCTAAACGTCATTATGGATTTATCTTTATCATGAAAACTCAAAACCCCAAAATTTTAAAGGCAATAATGTATAAAAACCTGAATACGTAAAGAACTATATGACAAAAAAAAATAAGAACATAAATTCATCTAAGGTCAACTTTGCCTGATGGAGTTGGAATCTCAGTTTCGTAATATTTCTAAATTCATCAAGGACAATTCAAGAAAGATATGTTATAAACCATTTCAGTACTCATGTTTTACTATTTTAGGAAATTTATGTTGTTCTTACCCCTGTCAAAACAATGGAGTTTGTCTTACAAAGGGATTCAATGACTACGAGTGTGATTGTACAGGCACAGACTTCTATGGGAAAAATTGTGACACGCGTAAGTTTAAATGGATCAAATACAAAATGTTTAGTGCCAAAACAAATTTGTAAAATCCCGGAGTAATAATTTACGCGAAAAAAACACAGAGAATATCTTGGACGCATTTTCTATATTGTAGTTTCCACAGACAATCAACCTTATGTATTTAAATATCTTATTATGTCTACAGTATATGAGTTACCTATCTTGATAAGGTAAGTTTGTGATTTAAAATTTGACGCCCTTTGAAGAGCAACTAAAGGGACAAATGTTGAAATACACTAACCAAAATTGGTAAAAGTCAACTTTTGCATGAAGGAGTAGTATTTTGGTTTTTGTTTTCACGGGTGCAAAAAAGATATTCTTTCTGTTGAAAAGTCTTTCATTTTTTTTTATTACAGGCACAATATTTTTTAATCGTTTTTTTAATTGTCGTATGTATCAAAAGTTAAATCTTTGAAAAAACTAAAACACATCAGAACATTCGAGCCAATATCGAGATAAAGGTTACTAGACCACGTGCAAAAAGTTTATCCAGTGGCAGCAATCAATATACAACTACACTGTAACTAATTTAGTTTACACGGAAAGTATTTTACAATAAACGCAAGTTGACACAAATATGTATCAATCAATTTCAGCTACACTGTTAAAAAGGGTCAAGTTATGGTTGAAGCCAAAGCCATCTACAGTTCATAATCTGATGATTGATCATCAATGGTTTTGGAACATCGTGAATAATCTCCCATTTTTGAGGAATTTTTTAATGAGGACATTTATAATGCGTAAGTACTGCTTAAAGACTATTGACATATAAACAATTAAAAGAGGGAGAAAATACAAATGGTACAACCAAAAAAAACAACCCGAAATAAATGGATAATGTGTCTATGGGCCACAGATACCCCGCTTGTAAATATGCATGAGTCTACTTCCACAAACAGATACAGGATTCAGTATATTTAGTAATTTTTCCATTCATCAAGGGGCAAAACTCAAGAACGGTAAAAGTGACGCCACCCAATTTCAAACTTGATCTGTGTTTTGTGGTAATAAGCATTGTATATAAGTTTCATAACATTTGGTTGAGGCGAACTAAAGTTAGAGAACGGAAACGAAAAATTCTGCAAGTTTTATGTTTATAAAGGGGCATAACTCATAAAGGGTAAAAGTGACGCCACCCAATTTCGAAATTGATCTGTGTTTTGTGGTAATAAGCATTGTGTATAAGTTTCATAACATTTAGTTTAGGCAAACTAAAGTTAGAGAACTGAAACGAAAAATTCGGCAATTTTTATATTTATAAAGGGGCATAACTCATGAACAGTAAAATTGACGCCAACCAATTTCGAACTTGATCTGATTTTTGGGGACGTACGGAGGGGACGGACGGGACGGACCGACGGGACGGACAAGGGTAACACTTTATGCTCCCTCCGCTACGATGGGGGCATAAACAAAAACAATACCATGGCAAAAAGGGAAAACACTAAATTACAAACATCTGCCTTTAAAAAATTACACAGATAATTTATTCTATAAGATTACAACACGAACCAAAGAGAAATATGCAAGTAAACTCAGGTGCTCTGAAAGGGTAAGCAGTTCCTCTGTAACTAGTGGAACGCCTTGTGTTGCAAATGGCAGGTAACAATTCAGTTGTAAATCCCATTCGTTAATGTCAATAAAAGAAATAAGGACAAGATTGAAGTTGCGACAAGTGGAACATATCCGTGGTTATCTGTGACCATGTGTTGTTCTTTTTTGTTTCTCTTTGTTTGCAGCCTATTTATTCACTGGTAGAGTCGGCTGTTGGTGGTTGGTAAGTTCTGTTAATGGTGTATTGTCCAATACTTTGCTGTTTCCTGTTAATGTATTATATATTCACAACAAATATCTTTAAAAACGTCTTTTGAGTTACCAAAAAGTCACATTAAAAAAGAAAAAAATTGCAAATGGTTTTTTTTTAAACCAAGTAGATGAACAAATTATTGTTTTATCATTTTGTACAATGAATAAACTTGTTTAATATCAAAATTAACGGAAAACTGCTTCTTACAAAAGATGTTATGTATATGATCGGTGGAAAGCCTTCTTAAAATTAGAACTTTAAGATTAAAGATTATGTGGTCTCTTCCATTGATAGTGTAAGGATAAAACTGTATGAAATAAATATCGTAATCAAACTAGCACAAACATTAAATTTCTGCATGTTTCTTTATTTTTAGTTAGATCAAATCTTATCGACATTCCACCTCCATATGACAACGATCATTCATATATAACACTTGGTGCATATTTCAATAATTCCTTCTACACAAGAGTTCTCCCGCCCGTTCCCGAGGAATGTCCGACTCCAATGGGTGTAGCAGGAAGGAAAGAGTTACCAGACGTAAATGCTCTGGTTAAAACGTTGTTTGTGCGGGAAAAATTTAAACAAGATCCAATCGGAACAAGTGTTTTGTTCAGCTTTATGGCTCAACACTTTTCACATATGTTCCTGAAAACTGATTTCAAGCGTGGTCCACAATATCAGTGGGGAGGACATGGAGTAAGTAGTACTATGTTGGGTTTCTTATTCAACTTTGACCTTTATTTAAAACAAAACACACACACGAAAAAAAAACAAGTAGAAATCACAGTAAAATGTGTCTATATTATATATATACAGAACCCCTCTGATGAAAAAACAAAAAATATGCTACCGCAAATTTGCAGATCTAACATTGTTGGGCTAAAATTGAGACGAAGTATATATATATTATATATCTATGTAAATACGCACCTCCGTTGTACATAAATATTAAATTTGCGTGAACTTTGAAATTTTAGAATTATAATAAGAGTGTGGTTCGGTTTTTAATTTGTATTACGTTCAAGATTGCTTTAGTAAAATCCGAATAGATTGAAACAGATAATTTTACATCATACTGATGAATGATATTTGTTATCCAAAATATTTATTCATACTTGTAGTTACTGTTTTCTTTTTTAATATTGGTGTTGTTTTGTACACTTTTAGCCGTATAAATATATAATTTATTTATTGTGTACTTTTAGATCGGTACTTTGAATTTTTTGTCTTTTTGTTATTATTCTGTGAGTGGTCAAGCCCTTTCCAACTGTCCACTGTAGTAGTTTAAATCAGGTCGTATGTTTTATCTTTAGAATTATTTCATTTTGTCAACCCGGATCCATTTATAGCTTACTATACGGTATTGGGTTTGCTCATTGTCGAAGTCCGCACGATGACATGCATTGTTCACATCTTTTGTTTTGGTTTATGGATATCATATAACATTTGTTTGATTTACCACACTTATTTGCGAAAATATATAGGAAAATGAGGTCAAGATCAGACAAACATGTACACCCTAGAACCATTATATACTCCGAATCTAGTTCACCTTTTACTTATTATAGTATCTGAGGAACTGACCCTAATCAATACAATTTAACGTATACAAATGAATTATGAAAATAAGGGCAAGGTTAGATCAATCTTACCAAGTCTTGTTTCTTACATAATTTGAGAAACTCCTAATCACGAAAATTAAACTTTGATTTTAAAACATAAAAAAGGTCAAGGTCAAACATGTAGAGATAATTCTATAATTTTTACATCGGATGTGACCTTGAGAGGTCATACCGGTGTTATGTTGCCGCAGAAATTTCCTTGCGCTTTTGACTGATAACCGAACGTATTTCGTATAAATACGCGGATATTATCGAGTACAAAATAATATACAAATACTGTCTTTTGATGAGGTAAATATGTGGTTTTATTCACTGAGGCCAACGGCCGAAGTGAACATCAGCTTTTCAAAAGTCAATTAAACCACATTTTTACCGAAACAAAAGACAGTAATTGTTTTATCCATATTCCGAGAGAGTACCGAGAGAAATGTATGCAATGACAATTATTTACCAAAACCAATTGTTCATCAAACGATTTTAACATCATCATACACGTAAAAGCACGCGACGTTTGCACGGTGAATATACTTATTTATTCAAAATCCCAATCGTTTAGAAAAACCTGCCAAAGTTCTATCAATATGGAATAACATTCCTTATCGCTTGTTATAAATTCATTTCTTCAATGAGTACTCATGAAAATTTTGTTAAGAACATAGATAAATGATATGAAAATGTTTTGTCGTGAGAAATATATATATCAGTAACAAATCATGAATGACGAAAATTTGTGTTGACGCATGCGGAAGAATATCTCGAGAGATGATCTGCTATATATATATAGATATAAGAATATGTGGTATGAGTGCCAATGAGACAACTCTCCAGCCAATTCACAATTTATAAAAGTAAACCATTATAGGTCAAAGTACGGATTCAACACGGAGCCTTGGTTCACACCGCACAGGCAAGCTATAAAGGGCCCCAAAAATTACTAGTGTAAAACCATTCAAATGGGAAAACCAACAGTCTATTCTATATAAAAAACGAGAAACGAGAAACACTTATGAACCACATCAACAAACGACAACTACTGAACATCAGATTCCTGACTTAGGACAGGTGCAAACAAAAGCAGCGGGTTTAAACGTTTTAATGGTACCAAACCTTATATAACTGTTATACAGATATTAATATAATATATAACAACAAACCAGATTCTACTGATAACAAATGATTATATCTCTACAATATAATAATTATTACGGTGAGGTTAAATTCCCTGTCATTTATTCATCATCCACACAGGAACTTGTCTCGGAAAAAAATATATCTATGTACCTTGACATAACTTTCAGGTATAGAGATATTATTTTTTTTTTCTCAGACCATCCACCAGAACTTATGGTCGTCCGATGTTCAGTTCTTCAGTACTTATAACTGAACATATCACGCGATAAAACTTACATGTAATAGGTTTTTAACCAGTCTCTGAATAATGAAAATAGACCAATGACAACTAACAAAAGACAGATGAAAACTTCAGACCATAAGGTAATGGGTTATCCAACTATTCCACCGCTTAATCCGTCGCCGCCGTTACTGCTGGATTGGCATGACGCAGCAAAGACAAACATTACTTATATTTATCTCTTATTCATTAGCATATAGGGACAGTTTTCTTTCTTTTTTTGTAATGATAATATATACAACAGTTACCGGTTCGATTTTTTATCCTTATTAAGTATCATATGCTATTGTTAATATGGCTGACCAGATGAAATCGGTACTCATTTAATATTTTTACTGTTGCTATCTTTTACAGATAGACATGACAAATATATATGGAAAGAATAAACATGATGAAAATCTTCTGAGATCCTTTAAAGATGGCAAATTGAAACTTCAGGTTAGTATTTATTCAGACATCCATTACCCCCACCCCTGCAAAAAGGCAACCCAAAACTAACCCACAAACAAAAACAAAGACTTGAAATATTTCAGTTTGCACAACAAATGTTTTGGAATCAAGAATCGTCCAAATAGCATGATTTTTCTCCGCTTAATGTCAAGTTTAGAAATAACTTTTGAAAACCTATAATTTGAAATACCATTTCAGTTGTTTTTTTATATATTATCAACAATAGTTACAATTTGGGATATTTGTATCATGCTAAGGACTTTGTGGGACAATCTAGAAATTGGTGTATGGAAATACCTTTTGTTAGATTTTGTGTGTTCACTATTTATTCCATTTTTTTTATTTGAATATCTTGATTAAATATTATCAGATACGCTCAGAGACTAAAATTGACATAGCTTAAGTGGAAGAAAATAACAAGTGGAGATATATCTTCTTCAATTTTTAAGAAACAGTGGCTACCTATACTTCAAAATACTTCTTGCCTTTTGGTAAATCTCACTTGGGTACATTCCATACCTGCGATTATAAATATATAACAAAATTCTTAGCGAACTATGTCAACATGTTATGATTGTTAGTCAGTATTTCTTATGTACTAGTACTTTATGAAGTAATCTTTTCCTAGAGTATAAATGATGAAGATTGGCCGGTTCTAACCAAAGATGCTAATGTTGAAATGCATTACGTGGCACCTGTTCCCGCGGAAAGAAAATTCGGTCTTGGTCATTCGTTCTTTGGTAACTTGCCTGGACTGTTTATGCTCTCTACGATCTGGATGAGAGAACACAACCGAGTATGTGATGTGATGAAGAAAGTACATCCAGAATGGGATGATGAACGTATCTTTCAAACAGGAAAACTTATACTATTAGGCAAGTTATACAGAATTTTCAGATATGTGATTTTCATCTAAAAGAAGATAAAGATTACTGATATTTATTTTTTTTTGTAATTTTGCTACCTATAATTTAAGAAAATTTTGCCGAAAATACTTATTGATTTAATTTTTTTCAATTTGTTCTTCTCCTCAATATGCTTGAAATATTTGCCACTGGACGTAGAGCAAACAACAACTAATCATTTTGAAAAAAAGGTTTAACAAATAAATAATATTAATGCAATGGACTCATTTGAAAGGCATTTAGAATTCCAGAAAATAAATACTGATTTCATGTGTCCAAAACTAAAAACGATGAGAGTCGTTTCTTTTTTGTCATGAGATCGAATCGTTCTTGCAAGTCAGATAATCTAGTTCTTTGACTTAAACCGTTTACCTGCCAAACTGTGGGAGTGGTCCTAGATTGCTCCGACGTCCAATGGTCTTAGTTTCATGGACTTGCTATGGCTTTTATAGATCGGCTGAGCTTACAGTTGCTATTTTCAGTGTTATTCGGAAAATCGCTAAAAATTAAGCAGCTTTATTGCACAAATAATGTCAAAATATTGTTTTTCTTTGTATTCTAAGGTATATTTACAGAAGTTTTAATTTTTTTTATGACATTATAATAAAAACAAATCTTTTTTAATATACGTAAATGAAAGATGATGAAATGATGCTAACATCATTGTCTTTACAGGAAAAAAAAAAACTTAAAAAAGGTATCCAGACGAAACTAAAGGGACATACTGTTCAAATTGCGTACAATTTTGTATTACACGTTATTTTGCTGTGCTCAATTAGTTTTCAATGTCTAAGTAACTTTAGTTTGTGTGATAAAAATTTGTCATCTACTACGACCTCTTTTAAGACGCGGTCGAGAAAAATGGTGGCTGTAAAATTGTTTAAGCTTCGTCTGTTTATCAGAACAAGGCTATTTATGATGTTTGTTGACAAATGCAAATCTCTAAAAGCACGAGTAAGTATATAAGCGCCACATAGATACCAGGATTAAAATTGTGTACACAAGACGCGCGTTCCGTCCTCAAACGACTCATCAGTGACGCTGGAATAAAAAAGTATTAAAAAATATAATGTTTTTAATGGTGGAATTTGTAAACGAACGGCCTGTTTGGTTTATAATTTTATTTCGTCAATTTTTTTTCAGGACAGACGATTAAAATTGTGATAGAAGAGTATGTACAACATCTAAGTAATTATAATTTTCAACTTATGTTTAAACCGGACTTGCTGTTTGGTGAAAATTTTCAGTATCAAGCACGAGCTTCAGTGGAATTCAATCATTTATACTTCTGGCATCCTTTGATGCCAGATGAATTCAAAATTGGAGATACTAATTACACCATGAGGGATATCTTGGTCAATCCAGGACTTGTTATAAAACACGGAATGGCAACATTTGTAGACTCTCTATCCAAACAAACCGCTGGTGCGGTAAGTAATATTGAAAAATGAAAGGTTGAACTTTGACTTAATTTGCAGACTTCCAGGTTAAATTCGATTTGCGAGTGAAACTTCGAGTAAAAGTTCCCGTAAATTGGTTATCCGAAATGACGCATGGCTACAGTATGCAAAAGAAATTTAGTCATACTATTTAATAATTTCATCTTTACGTTAAAAAGTTGATGTAGGTATACGTAAATGAGACAGATAATCAATAACACAAACAACCAAAAGACATCTAGTGGTCAATATACGGTATTGAATAATAGAACGGTGGCTATAGTCAATATTTTGAAGGAAAAAAAATAGAGAATAAATTGAAAAGAGACTATCAAAGATCGGTTATTAAAACCGAATTCCAAAAACAAAACAACATATCAAGATAATTTATGACAAAAGACATCTACTAACGAAGTGTCGTTAGTCATATCCTACTTTTATTTTTCTACTATTTTACTTTATATTATTGTAAATATTGTGATTATCTGTTGTAAATTTTACTTGTATTTGATATTGAAAGATTCTTAGAAGTAACAGACTGTCTACGTTGCTGTTATCTAGAAAGGCGCTTCGAAACAAATCCTCATTTTGCAGTTACACATTCATGTACAAACGTTTTAAGTCAACGCGTTATTTTAATTAAAGGATAGATATTCCATGTCTGGAATATGACGGTCGTTTTCTAGCTGTTTTGTTCTCTTAGAATGAAAATGACAGTAACTGTTTATAAATTGTCTGCGTCCAAAAAGCTTTTCTGGATCAACCATCATCGGGAACGCTAACAGCCAAAAATTGGAAAGCCAAGGATGTATAAGTACCAAAACACGCGAAAAGCTATTTGACCAAAAGTGACCTAAATATAAAAGCTAATCCATCCAAAATCAACTTTGCCTGAGGGAGTTCTTTATAATTTCTTAATATATAAATGAACAATTTAAGCAAGGTATGTTATAAATCATATCAGTACTGACTTCTGAGCTTATCATACCCTCGGAGACGAAAAGTCCAATAGCAGCGGTATCTACCAAGTGCTATAATAAATGAAAGAAAAACAACTTGATCAATTTTACGTCCGAAGCGCTTTTCTGGATTTACCACTCAAAGCCAAATATTTGAAAACCAACGATATATAAGATAAATCATGTCAGTATCAAAGCACTGACTACTGAGCTGATGATAGGACTAATAATCGACCAGCTGCGATTTCTATCCAGTTCTATAAAACTTAAAATAATATTTTATAAATGTTAAGCGTTTGAAGCGCTTTTCTGCATTAACCTTCACCAGGAACGCTTACAGCCAAATATTTGAAAGGCCAATAAGGTATAAGTATTGAAACACGTGAAGAGCTATACGACCAAATAAGACATACATTGTATATATACATAATAGTCAAATCCAACTAAGGTTTACTTTGCCTGATGGAGTTGGAACCTTAGTTTCTTGATAATTTCTTAATTTATCAACGGACAATTCAAGACAGATCTGTTATAAATCATATCAGTACCGAAGCATTAATTGTTCCTTTATTATTCAGTCTTTTATGTACTTTTGGGAATCTGCGAGGTACATTAAGAATCCGTACCACAATATACCATGATATTCGAAAGAAAACCAATAGTCAATAGTAGAAGTCATGATTTCGATAAAATTCGAATAAGTTGATGAAAACATAGTCAATATATTTTCTTTATGTTTATGCTTATATCAAACACCAAATATTTTAACGAGGATACCTAGCTGGGTCGGGGGCCAAGGAAAGATTTATCAATCACAAGTATTTTCTTGTCTTTTTACTTCCATTTCCGAAAGGATGGTCCCAATTCATCTATTTGATTCTGAAAACTGAAAAAATAATGATATTTCTGTGGATTTTCCTAATGGTTCACCGAGCCGCTTTTAGATCTTCTCACATCTGACTTAACAGCAAGTTACTTCTGAAGTGTTGTGACAGTGTTTTCTCCACTAGTGGGCAAATAAAAGGTGGATTCTTTAAGATTTAAACAGTTATATTCTGACAAAGCGTCAGGACGTTCAAGCTCAATTAAATGAATTTATTTTGATGATAACTCTCGAAAGATTTGAACTTAGAGTATTCAGAAGGTATTTTAGCTATTTGCAAGATATCTACTTGACAAGCAGTAAAGGTTTATATATAAAAAAAAAAAACAAACACCTTCAACTTTGAATCAGTACTACATGTTGTAAAACGTTGCAGCTCTTATACACTTCAATCCCTGATGAAAAATAGAGAAATAAAAACATCTTTTTTAAAAATTATTTTGCTTCAAAATGATTTGAGAGAGATGTACTGGTTTTTGAAAGACAGAAAAAAAACAAATACGAGACGTAAGAATGCTGACAGATATCAATAGCTGATTGGTCAAATGGCTTTCCCATGGGAACAAATTGTTCGCTGCGTCTTGCGAATTTTTTTTTTTTTTGCTAGTAAGAATTTACATTTGGTTAGCTGCTATATGTTTTATGTTAACCATTATATGAATAACACATAGCCGATAGGGTGATAGAGCAGATTGTTACCCCGAGAAAACATTGTCAACCGCGGCGATGCCAAGGTTGACAATGTTTTTTCGAGGGGTACCAATCTGCTCTATCACCCTCTCAGCTATGTGTAATCTAATTTATTATACTGAATGTCCTATCATTATTGTCTTTTACAGATGAATTTTATTCAAAAGTATTTTCTATGACGTCACGTACATAACAACAATATTGGTTTTAGAAAAATCAACAGAAGTGAAGCAAGATGTTTTATTTTTTTATTTTGACAGTCAAATAATAGAATCTGAGCCAAAACGTAGAACTTAAGCATTGTCTTTAATAACTTGATGTAAATTCAATTCATTGTCCTTTAAATTATCGATTTTTGATTGGTCTGTACGAGAGGGTGATATTCAAAAAAGTTGTCACCCGCTCAGCCATGTGATAGAGTAAATTAACACCCTCGTATCAGCCAATCAAAACATGGCATTTTAACGTGAAGTATAATAACATAAATTGATAAATCTTTGACAAATGACGGTGTCAAAAATGACCGTAGACATAATTCATACTCTACTTCTCGTATTAACGTATTTGACTCATTACCTGTTTTGGTGTAAGTTCGACGTTCGTATTGTCATAATCTTTGGTTCGATATCTTTTTGTGCGCATTGTTCTTTCTCGACCGTACACCTGTCTCTTTATTTGAAACCTCTCTTTCATATATTGTCCTTTTGATTCCCATTGTTAACGGATTGGTGTGATATCGTCTGCCTTTTATTTAAGATATTCCTAATATGATCATCAAAAGCAGTATGGTGAGAAACCTACTTAAAGTTTCTGATAAATGTTGAGAGCAGAATTGTTATATTGCATTTTGTCAGTTGCTGTTAACATCAAATCTATTTTAAATTTTATGTAAGGTTTCACTAATTCACAATTTTTTGCTACGTTTCTTTGAGTTTGAATTGACCATATTTTGCAGTTTACAGTAAAGAATCATGGAGCAATAACACTTCCTGTTGTACAGAAACTGATTCAAAATGGCCGAACATTACGTCTGCAGTCTTACAATAATTACAGGAAACGTTTTAATCTAAAACCGTTCAAATCATTTGAAGAACTAACAGGTAAATTTATTTGTCTATTTCAACTATTCAACGTTCTCCGCTTGACAATTCTTGAAATTTAGATTTCCAATGGAAAGGCAAATTCAGAGGTTTCAAAATACCGTATTAGATCAAAATGCTGATGTCTCAATTTGAAAAGATTTTCCATTGGATAATTTGTATAAAAAATAAATATTACGTGAATATTGTAACAATGCTGCTCAGGGCCTATTATTTGTACGTAATTCTGGTAAAAATAATACATTTTTGTAATTAAAAAAAAAATGAATACTGACCGACTCGATCATTTGAAATGATCAGGACACGAGATCTGATAGAACAACTAGCATAACATGAAGCCTAAGATGTCCCCCTAAAAAAAAAAAAACACAACGGTGACCTATAGTTGTTAATTTCTGTGTCATTTGGTCTCTTGTGGAGAGTTGTCTCATTGGCAATCATACCACATCTTCTTTTTTATACAAATAAAAAATGAACATTAGTCAATGCTTTAGTCTTATCTAAGTGCCACCAGAACAGTCTATTTAGGAATAAAGAATAGCATACGAATTCGCCTTAATTTGGAATATTCGAAGATTTGAATAATAAATATTTATTTACGGTACAAATCCTTGGATATAAGAATTGATAAAATTGTCGATTATGCCGAGCTTGTCATTTCGGTAATCTCTAAAAGACATTCGCTCGAGTTCAAAACCTACCCATGCATGCCTCACCTGCAGTCAGTAGAGATGTCTTTGTCAAAGTTAAGACTGAAGGAAGAGAGGTGGATACATGTTATTTTACCAGAAAATTCGTACGTATCATACGTTGTCTTGAATAAAATGGTTAGGCAAAATCTACGCGTAATTTCATTTCTTATGTATAAGGAAGATATCGAATATATTTGTCTAAATTATACAAACTTTTACACGCACTTTAAGGTGGCTCGGCCCTTTAACAGTGCGCATATTTTAACGCATGTTTCTAACGACGAGCGCCTTGGAAACGGTCGCTTTGAGGGGTTTTCTCAAAAATAGTTGTGACGACATTGGAACGCGGGCGTGTATGAAAGCACCCTTTCCCGATGTCAACAAACCATGCAAAACGTTCTACAAAACATGAAATACGTACGGTCAGAACTACAGAGTGGTTTGTTCATTTTTCACATAAAAAGGACAGAACTATACATGATATATTAAAGCATAACTTTTCATAATGTTCGGGGTACACAATTGATATTGTATCATTGATGAGTTACACAAGGGTACACAATAGATATTGTATCTTTGATGAGTTACACAAGGGAACACAATATATATATTGTATCTTTGATGAGTTACACAAGGGAACACAATATATATTGTATCTTTGATGAGTTACACAAGGGTACACAATAGATATTGTATCTTTGATGAGTTACACAAGGGTAAACAATATATATATTGCATCTTTGATGAGTTACACAAGGGTAAACAATATATATATTGCATCTTTGATGAGATACACGAGGGTACACAATATATATTGTATCTTTGATGAGTTACTCAAGGGAACACAATATATATTGCATCTTTGATGAGATACACGAGGGTACACAATATATATTGTATCTTTGATGAGTTACACAAGGGAACACAATATATGTATTGTATCTTTGATGAGTTACACAAGGGAACACAATATATGTATTGTATCTTTGATGAGTTACACAAGGGAACACAATATATATTGTATCTTTGATGAGTTACACAAGGGAACACAATATATATATTGTATCTTTGATGAGTTACACAAGGGAACACAATATATATTGTATCTTTGATGAGTTACACAAGGGTACACAATAGATATTGTATCTTTGATGAGTTACACAAGGGTAAACAATATATATATTGCATCTTTGATGAGTTACACAAGGGTAAACAATATATATATTGCATCTTCGATGAGATACACAAGGATACACAATATATATTGTATCTTTGTAGAGTTACACAAGGGTACACAATAGATATTGTATCTTTGATGAGTTACACAAGGGAACACAATATATATATTGTATCTTTGATGAGTTACACAAGGGAACACAATATATATTGTATCTTTGATGAATTACACAAGGGTACACAATAGATATTGTATCTTTGATGAGTTACACAAGGGTAAACAATATATATATTGCATCTTTGATGAGTTACACAAGGGTAAACAATATATATATTGCATCTTTGATGAGATACACGAGGGTACACAATATATATTGTATCTTTGATGAGTTACACAAGGGAACACAATATATATTGCATCTTTGATGAGATACACGAGGGTACACAATATATATTGTATCTTTGATGAGTTACACAAGGGAACACAATATATGTATTGTATCTTTGATGAGTTACACAAGGGAACAATATATATTGTATCTTTGATGAGTTACACAAGGGAACACAATATATATATTGTATCTTTGATGAGATACACAAGGGAACACAATATATATTGTATCTTTGATGAGTTACACAAGGGTACACAATAGATATTGTATCTTTGATGAGTTACACAAGGGAACACAATATATATATTGTATCTTTGATGAGTTACACAAGGGAACACAATATATATATTGTATCTTTGATGAGATACACAAGGGAACACAATATATATTGTATCTTTGATGAGTTACACAAGGGTACACAATAGATATTGTATCTTTGATGAGTTACACAAGGGTAAACAATATATATATTGCATCTTTGATGAGTTACACAAGGGTAAACAATATATATATTGCATCTTTGATGAGATACACGAGGGTACACAATATATATTTTATCTTTGATGAGTTACACAAGGGAACACAATATATATTGCATCTTTGATGAGATACACGAGGGTACACAATATATATTGTATCTTTGATGAGTTACACAAGGGAACACAATATATGTATTGTATCTTTGATGAGTTACACAAGGGAACACAATATATGTATTGTATCTTTGATGAGTTACACAAGGGAACACAATATATATTGTATCTTTGATGAGTTACACAAGGGAACACAATATATATATTGTATCTTTGATGAGTTACACAAGGGAACACAATATATATTGTATCTTTGATGAGTTACACAAGGGTACACAATAGATATTGTATCTTTGATGAGTTACACAAGGGTAAACAATATATATATTGCATCTTTGATGAGTTACACAAGGGTAAACAATATATATATTGCATCTTTGATGAGATACACAAGGATACACAATATATATTGTATCTTTGATGAGTTACACAAGGGTACACAATAGATATTGTATCTTTGTAGAGTTACACAAGGGTAAACAATATATATATTGCATCTTTGATGAGATACACAAGGATACACAATATATATTGTATCTTTGATGAGTTACACAAGGGTACACAATAGATATTGTATCTTTGTAGAGTTACACAAGGGTAAACAATATATATATTGCATCTTTGATGAGATACACAAGGATGCACAATATATATTGTATCTTTGATGAGTTACACAAGGGTACACAATATATATATTGTATCTTTGATGAGTTACACGAGGGTACACAATATATATTGTATCTTTGATGAGTTACACAAGGGAACACAATATATATAGATCTTTGATGAGTTACACAAGGGTACACAATAGATATTGTATCTTTGATGAGTTACACAAGGGAACACAATATATATATTGTATCTTTGATGAGTTACACAAGGGAACACAATATATATTGTATCTTTGATGAGTTACACAAGGGTACACAATAGATATTGTATCTTTGATGAGTTACACAAGGGTAAACAATATATATATTGCATCTTTGATGAGTTACACAAGGGTAAACAATATATTTATTGCATCTTTGATGAGATACACGAGGGTACACAATATATATTGTATCTTTGATGAGTTACACAAGGGAACACAATATATATTGCATCTTTGATGAGATACACGAGGGTACACAATATATATTGTATCTTTGATGAGTTACACAAGGGAACACAATATATGTATTGTATCTTTGATGAGTTACACAAGGGAACACAATATATATTGCATCTTTGATGAGATACACAAGGGAACACAATATATATATTGTATCTTTGATGAGTTACACAAGGGAACACAATATATATTGTATCTTTGATGAGTTACACAAGGGAACACAATATATATATTGTATCTTTGATGAGTTACACAAGGGAACACAATATATATTGTATCTTTGATGAGTTACACAAGGGTACAAAATAGATATTGTATCTTTGATGAGTTACACAAGGGTAAACAATATATATATTGCATCTTTGATGAGTTACACAAGGGTAAACAATATATATATTGCATCTTTGATGAGATACACAAGGATACACAATATATATTGTATCTTTGTAGAGTTACACAAGGGTACACAATAGATAGTGTATCTTTGTAGAGTTACACAAGGGTAAACAATATATATATTGCATCTTTGATGAGATACACAAGGATACACAATATATATTGTATCTTTGATGAGTTACACAAGGGTACACAATAGATATTGTATCTTTGTAGAGTTACACAAGGGTAAACAATATATATATTGCATCTTTGATGAGATACACAAGGATGCACAATATATATTGTATCTTTGATGAGTTACACAAGGGTACACAATATATATATTGTATCTTTGATGAGTTACACGAGGGTACACAATATATATTGTATCTTTGATGAGTTACACAAGGGAACACAATATATATAGATCTTTGATGAGTTACACAAGGGTACACAATAGATATTGTATCTTTGATGAGTTACACAAGGGAACACAATATATATTGTATCTTTGATGAGTTACACAAGGGAACACAATAGATATTGTATCTTTGATGAGTTACACAAGGGTACACAATATATATTGTATCTTTGATGAGTTACACAAGGGTACACAATAGATATTGTATCTTTGATGAGTTACACAAGGGAACACAATATATATTGTATCTTTGTAGCGTTACACAAGGGTAAACAATATATATATTGCATCTTTGATGAGATACACAAGGATACACAATATATATTGTATCTTTGATGAGTTACACGAGGGTACACAATATATATTGTATCTTTGATGAGTTACACAAGGGAACACAATATATATTGTATCTTTGTAGCGTTACACAAGGGTAAACAATATATATATTGCATCTTTGATGAGTTACACAAGGGTACACAATAGATATTGTATCTTTGATGAGTTACACAAGGGTAAACAATATATATATTGCATCTTTGATGAGATACACAAGGATACACAATATATATTGTATCTTTGTAGAGTTACACAAGGGTACACAATAGATATTGTATCTTTGTAGAGTTACACAAGGGTAAACAATATATATATTGCATCTTTGATGAGTTACACAAGGATACACAATATATATTGTATCTTTGATGAGTTACACGAGGGTACACAATATATATATTGCATCTTTGATGAGATACACAAGGATACACAATATATATTGTATCTTTGTAGCGTTACACAAGGGTAAACAATATATATATTGCATCTTTGATGAGATACACAAGGATACACAATATATATTGTATCTTTGATGAGTTACACGAGGGTACACAATATATATTGTATCTTTGATGAGTTACACAAGGGAACACAATATATGTATTGTATCTTTGATGAGTTACACAAGGGAACACAATATATATTGTATCTTTGATGAGTTACACAAGGGAACACAATATATATTGTATCTTTGATGAGTTACACAAGGGAACACAATAGATATTGTATCTTTGATGAGTTTTTACATCTATATTTGTAGGTAATAAGAAGTTAGCAAAGATCTTAGAAAACCTATATGAAGATATTGATACTGTCGAGTTTTACGTCGGTCTCATTACTGAGAAACGACGACCACGGGGAATGTTTAGTGAGGGTTTATTAGAGATTGGTGCTCCAATGTCAATCAAAGGAGTAATGTCCAACCCGATATGCAGTCCTAAATATTGGAAACCGTCCACATTTGGAGGTGATGTTGGATTTGAAATAGTTAACACAGCAACATTAAGAAAACTTTTTTGTCAGAATATGAAAGGCGATTGTCCGGAAGTGTCATTTAAAGTTCCTGGTTTTGTAGAGCAGAAACGGACGGATGGTGATTGTGCAGAACACGAGGAACTATAAAGCTGTGATTTATTAATATCATGTTTCTCTATTTTCGTCTTTTCAGATTAAGTGAGATATCTATCAAATGTACTTGATGTTCCCTTTCAATTTTCAAAATGTTATTAAGCATTTTGCAGTTGGTTTAGGGCGGGGTATTAAACAATCCATGTACCCTGTGTTGCTCATTAGGCCTAGTTGACGAAGTCTATACATAATAATAATGGAGTAGTAATTTTATTGCTATTTATTTTCATTTTGACGGTTGCTTGCAAGTCTTCAACGGTCAAATGACAAGTTCAGATTGAATAGTTAATGAAAGTCTAACCACATACAACACACATTCAAAACATGATACACAGGAATCATAATATAAAACAAGTAAGATATGTATGTGCTTGGACTATATTAGTCCCTGGTATGTGTCATTCTAAAAAGAGTCCATAAGCTAGAGAGACTATAAAACATTCTATAATCATATAAAACTTGTAAAAAAGCAATTAATGATATAAAACACTGTTTCTTCTTGTTTAAATGTTATGGTATGTTTTGGCAATATTACTTATATTGATGTAATTAAATAGTTATGTAACTGTGTTTTCTGTCATACAAATTAATAAGTTACATGTATCATTAAAATGAAATATATTAAATGAACATTGCATGTCTTATCAACACTTACAGCAACACACAGACAGTCCCCATCAGGTTTGTTTTAATTGTCCGAATTGATTATAACGGAGAGTTTTAATATCACTATTTTTCTTCCTAGAAGGTTTATTTCAAATGTGGTTATAGTATGTCATTAAAATAATTATAAATTTGATCATCATATTTTCCTTCAAATGTACTGACTATTTAAATATTATCATATCTAGTCCAGATTATAAATTAAGACAAAGTATTATACTTATTTTTTCTCAAAGAGAAAAATCCCACTCCTTCTTATCAATCCCTACGACTTAAAACTTAAATCATCATTCACCGAGAGAATCATCCAACCCCTCCAAATCGATAATGTTTATCTCAAAAACCGTTGCAACTTCCACAATTGATCAAGTTTTAAGGTACCGCTGGTTTATGCATTTGGCAGTGTCTCGGGTTTAGACATGAGACGTCTATCAATCCGCTGTTGTATAATGCAATGTCACGAAACTACCGGGTTTTAAAATGAGTAACGTGACGGATGTCCCTAGATGAGCAGGAACTTCTTACACTTTCGAAGTACCCGATATAAAAACAACCCTCCCTAGAGACCAACTGACGTAGAAGTTTATTTCTGGTATGTTTGGTTTGTATTGCTTATGAATCTTTGTTTTTTCTGTGAAGTATTTTGGGTACTTTTCTTCTTTTTTTTTTGGTGTAGGATTTCAATTGCCTACTTTGTATTTTCTTACTTTTTGATTGGTTGCATGACTGCAACGTAACTTGAATTGACTGAGATTCACGCCCATAAACCATATATATATACTTAATATAAGAAATTGTCTTGTATTGTCTTATCTTGTCTATATATTCTGATTCCTAATGAAAAGCTGTGTTCATTGTAATAGTCATCCAATTTCTTAGGTGAAATTAGTGATCACATAATTATTGTAAGCATTGTCAAAACCTCCCCTCGTCCCTCTAAACCATATAAATTGCTATCCTTCGTCACAAAAAACTAACTGAATACAACTTATCACATTTCCTTGTGATCTTTGAAACTCCTTCAAAACAGTAATACGTAATTAACTCAAAAACTGTTGAGATGACTGTCCTAAACTCCATACAAGACTTTATTCCTTATTACATGGTTTAGATATTTTATAAACTATTCTCTGTTTGGTGTCTTAAATAATGTGCTTTATGCAAAAGCTCATTTCTTCTTTGGGACTATAATCGACATGTTATCTTGTTGCAAAATCTGTGAAAAATCTGCTGTTTTTTTCAATAAGTAGAACAAATCAGAAAAAAAGGTATGTCTGTCAAAATGATTCAACTTCCTTAATAATACTTTGCATTACGTTAAAGAAAAAATGCAGTACGTTTTAAGAAAACAAAAAAGGCGACACACAATCCTATGAGAATCTTTAAAAAAAAATCACGTTTTGTATCTATAATGGTCACATTCCAATATATCATGATATATTTGAAACTTAATCTTTAGCGTGTCATATAGTCCAGTAAAATAAAAGCATTGTATTACTTGAAAAAGTACGGAAGCCGATAAGGGTCATTCGAAAAAAATAATTGATGTCGTAATTACGACATAGCATGTCGTAATAACGACATCACTATGTCGTAATAACGACATCCTTATGTCGTTTTAACGACATCGCTATATATATATATAAAAAGAGTATGTATTCGCTATATATATAAACAAAGAGTATGTATTATGATTGCCAAGAGACTAAATGACACAAAAATTAACAAATATAGGTCATCATAATGCCTTCAATAATGAGCAAAGCCCCCGCATAGTCAGCTATAAAAGGCCCCGAAATGACAAATGTTAAACAATTTAATTCAAACGAGAAAACTAACGGCTTTATTAATGTACAAAAAAATGAACAAAAACATATATGTAACACAGCAACAAACGACAACCACTGAATTACAGGCTCCTGGTCGCTATGTCATAATTACGACAACCTTAGCGTTGTCACTTTGGGCGATAGAAAATTCAAAATGGTCGTCAGTGAGGGCAAAGTTTGTAGCGTAAACAAATTCATCTTTTTTTGGAGAATAATGAACATTAAATGCAATCAAGCTTAATTAAAGTTATTTACTTACACATACTAGAACTTTATTTTATAATCAAGTCAAATGAGACCCAGTTGAACAGGGGAACAATTCAGGCTCCTTGGAGCCTCTAGTTATGTTTGACATGTACAGATTCGTGTAAAATATGACTGCATTTCCATTGCAGATTCTGAAGAAGATGAATTTTAAGCTTTTCCAAATAAAGACTATGTTAAACTTTAGACTCCTAGTGCTCAGACCCATGGACCTATGTACCTTCATTTGTATACAATTGCATCTTAATGGCCTACTGATGCTTGATGCAAATTATAACTGCATTGCTACTGTTAGTTCTTAACGAGATTCTTACAGCGTCCTCCCCATTGAAGCCTGTATTAAACTTTGGACCCAAAGTTCTTTAAACCAATGTTCCCCAGGACAACTATTCCTACAAACTTAGGTTAGAGGGTTATGATCCCGTTAACATGTTTAACCCCGCCACATTCTGTATGTATGTGCCTGTCCCAAGTCAGGAGCCTGTAATTCAGTGGTTGTTGCTTGTTGATGTGTTACATATTTGTTTTTCGTTTATTGTTTGTACATTCATCACAGAGAAACGAACAAACAAATAATATACTACAGTGTAGTAATAGTCGCAAAACATGTAAAGTGCAAAACAACAACGAACAGATTTCATCAACGACAAACACCACAGGATATAAAAAACAGTTACGCGCTTACGTAACTCACATGCAATCTCGAACTTTATGCAATTATTTCCACAATACTATACAAATAGACCACATAGCGAAATAACAGATGTTTGCCTCGCCTGCGATGAACGTCAAAAATAACAAAACAAAGGAATTGATTTTTCGGCGACGGCGGCTAAACTTTTATCAACATTTTGTGATTTTTGTAATCTTTAATAAAAGTTTAACGGTAACTACAGACGACCACGGACGACAAGCGATTGCAATAGCAAACATAGTCCTTCGGGTACTAAACACATCTTCTTGATGTGATCTACACACATGCCAAATATAAATAGAGGCTCCAAGGAGCCTGAATCGTTCACCATTTCAATGGGTCCCATTAGACTTGATCATGAAATAAAGTTCTATTATGTGCAGACATATAGAGTAACTAACTTTAATATTGATTAAGCTTGATTAAATTCAGTGGTTATCATTCTCAAAAATGAATATGTTTACGATAGGGTTTTGATACAAACTTTGCCCTCACTGGTGGCCATTTTTAACTTCGGATCAGCTCAAACGTAAAAACTCTTTTTAAGGACCTGGATACTAGGTACACATTGTATATTTATACTAAGTTTAAAATCAGTCATTTCAGCGATCTTGAGAAGAAGATTTTGAACATTGATTTTGCGGTCATGTGTTTTAACCAATGGGTAACTAAGAAGCAAAACTTGAATAGGACCTTATAGTGCACACGTATATCAAGTTTGATTCAATTCTGATAAGTGGTTCTTAAAATAAAGATGCAAATGTTGTTTCCCATAGTGTGTCGATGCTCACAAAGTAGCAATTCTAAGGTTGTCGTTATAGATGATATAGCGATGTCGTAATTACGATATAGATGTTGTTATTTCCACATAATATGTCGTTATTATGACATAGCGATGTGGTTATTTCCACATAATATGTTGTTATTACGACATAGCGATGTCGTTATTACGACATAGCGATGTCGTTATTACGACATACTTTGTCGTAATTACGACATTAATTAATTTTTTTGAATGACCCTTATCGGCTTCCGTAAAAAAGTTCATATTTTGTTGATTTTTAGATCGTGAAAGACAAGGCGTGACCAGGCTGAATGATCAGAAAACAACATTTCTTTTACCAATTGACATGCTTGTAATTGGTTGAAGCGTGTAGTTACTTATTTAGAACGACTGATTCGATTGGTTTTTTTTTTCTTATTTTTGTTGTTGTGATTTATATATATATATATATATATAATCCCGGCCAGGGAAGAACAAAAAATTTACTTCCGCAATATACAGATCTAACATTGTTGGGCTGTTGTTTAGACGAATTATAATATATATATATACATATAGACCCTTATTTATGCTAACTAGGCATCCAAGATAACACGACCTCCAGGAGCGTAAATTGTAGAAAAGTTAATATCTTTGTATTTATATTGCTAAATGCATCTACGAATGAGTGAAACGAGAAGAAATCTGGTTGTCTTCTCTTGGAAATATCTTAATGTGCACGTTTTTGTTTTCGTAAGGGTTATATTAAAGAAGCTATATTATTTAATTTTTCATACAGGTATCTTGAAGATGTTCTTTTTCATTAACAATACAAACTTTTCTGATGGGATTCCATTAATAGTCCTGAACTAGAGATTATAGATACCACATATACAACTTCCTTGGCCTCATTTTTAAACATATACCCCGATTTTTACTACAGCGGTCATCCCAATACCAGAGTCTATGACAAACGAGATGATTTCAATTTTGAAATTAAAAATTTTCCTCACCTTAGAGACAATTTACTAACTTCATTCGCATATGGAGTATACATTTTTCAACTCATACGATATTCAGGAGCTTGCAGCTGCTACTCAGAATTTGTTTAAAATCATTAGTGTCTGAGCAAAAAATTAATTAGCCAGGATTTTGTAAAAGAACGTAATGTGCTTTTTTCTCAAAAAGTTCATTGCAAAGTACCAAGACCTAATAGATAAATATTCAGTGTCTACTTCACAAATAATACAGGACGGTTTTGAGTTAAAGATTATATGTGCTGACTCTGTGTGGAATTTCATCTACTTTACAGTTTTACCTTTATTTGTCTTTGTACTATTGTGTTCCATTTGGTCGTATGACTCTTGGCGTGGTTCGGTATATGTGCATCCAGCTTTCGGGTTTTTGGCTTTTGTGGTTCCTTTGCGGGTGGGTCCAGAGATGCGATTTGGACACATGAGGTGTTTATAGTGTTGTTTTCATTTTGTATACCCTTGTATTAATTTTCACTTATTT